CTGATCCACTCACCATTCGCAGCACAGTGCTTGGCTCTCTTTTCATTGACTCACTCCTCAGTTCAAACCAACCAATTTAGTTGCAGCCAGACTCTGTCACGTTTCACACACATATACATGCCTAATTTGCACATTTGATAAAATATTGCTTGATTCCTTTACTGCACTCTTTTTTATACCCATTCTCTTGTCATAAAATTAGACCATGTACAGTTCAAGAAATCCAGATGCCCTGGATCCATTTCAGTCAAACTTCAGGCCGCGCCATGGCACGGAGACGGCATTGGTCACCCTGCTGGATGACCTCCTTAGGTAGGCCATCTGGGGCAAAATGTCCTTGTTGGTTTTCCTTGATATCTCAGCCGCCATTGATACTGTCAGCCACAGTATCCTCCTGGAAAGGCTCTCCGAGTTGGGGATCGGTGGCCTTGCTATTGCTTGGCTCTGGTCCTTCTTGGACTGTCGGCCCCAGAGAGTTCAGCTTGGGGAGAGTATATCGGCCCTGTGGTCCCTCGACTGTGGGGTACCGCGGTGTTGATCACCTCCCAAATGCTGTTTAACATCTATATGAGGCCGCTGTGGGGGGGGTCATCTGGGGATGTGGAGCTTGTGTCACCAATATGCTGATAACACCCAGCTCTACATTTCCTTTTTTCTATCTGCAGTGGATGCTGTTCCATCCTTTGAGTGCTGCCTGAAGACCATCCTTCAAGGGATGCAGTTGAATGGATTGAGATTGAACCTGGGCAAAATGGAGGTTTTGCAGGTGGGCACTCCCGATGTCAGTGGTTTGGGCAACTCCCTTTCTTTTGGGGGAGTGCCTCTCACTACAAAGAATGTGGTTCACAGTCTGGGGGTCCATCTTGACCCAGCGCTTACCATGTAGACCCAGGTAGCGTCTGTGGTCCGGTCCACCCACTTAGATCTTCGGTGGATCATCCAGCTGCATCCCTATCTAGACCTAGGGGTGCTCACCATGCTGGTCCATGAGCTAGTAGTCTCAAGAATAGACTACTGTAATGTACTCTGTATGTGGGGCTTCCTTTGAGACTGATGCAGAAGCTTCAAATGGTCCAGAATATGGTGGTTTGGCTATTAACTGGGGTGAAAAAATTCCATTGTATTTCCCCCACCCTGGCCGCCTGGCACTGGCTACCTGTTCGTTTCCACATTGATTTCAAGGTGTTGACTATTACATATAAAGCCCTAAACAGTTTAGGCCCTTGATACTTGGCAGATCAAGTTCTGCCTGTATGACCTGCTCTAGTCAGGCCGGGAGGCTGAGGGGCCTAACGCCGAGAGAGGTCTGAAGGGAAAAAACTAAAAATCAGGCCTTCTCGGCAGTGGCCCCTCGTCTCTGGAACAATTTACCTGTAGAGATCCGCTTGGCCCCCTCGCTGAGGGCCTTTAAGACCAATTTGAAGACATGGCTATATACCATGTTTCCCTGAAAATAAGACAGAGTCTTATATTAATTTTTGCTCCAAAAAACGCAGTAGGCCTTGTTTTCAGGGGATGTTATATTTTTTCATCTACAACAATCTACATCTTTTAAAATACAGTCATGTCATCTTCTTCTCGTTGCTGCACAATGGTGGAGGGCAGGGTTTTGCTTAACTAGGGTTTATATTTTGGGTTGGGCTTATACTAAGAGCATTCTGAAAAATACTAGGGCTTATTTTCAGGTTAGGTCTTATTTTCAGGGAAACAGGGTAGTCAGGCCTTCCCTACAGCCATCGCCTACCCTATTTTCCTTTTCTCTTTTCCATCTTGGATACTGTTGTTACAGTGGACATGGTGGCACTGCGGGCTAAACCGCAGAAGCCTCTGTGTGCTGCAGGGTCAGAAGACCAGCAGTTGTAAGATCAAATCCACGTGACTGAGTGAGCTCCCATCGCTTTGTCCCAGCTCGCCAACCTAGCAGTTCGAAAGCATGTAAATGCAAGTAGATAAATAGGTACCATCTCGGTGGGAAGGTAAACAGCGTTCCGAATCCAAGTCGCGCTGGCCATGTGACAACGGAAACTGTCTTCGGACAAACGCTGGCTCTACGGCTTGGAAATGGGGATGAGCACGGCCCCCTAGAGTCGAAAACGACTGACTAAAATGTCAAGGGGAACCTTTACCTTTTATTGGCCTCTAATGACCACAGTACAATGGGAAATAATGTATCTGGGCTGCAAACATTTTGGCTATGCATTTATAAACAATTACAAAATTGAATCCAAGAAACGATACCATAATATTAATTTACTTTTAAATATTCCAATAACTGACATATATTATAAATCTCACATGCATCTCTGAGATTTACATGTGTCACCACCCTTATTACAATTGTCCTTTCTTTTTAAAAGCAAAGCAAAAAGCGTGCTGCTTATAATACCACCCCATAGTGCTTCAAACACTCTCTGGGCAGTTTACAAGTTAGTTATGCAGGCTACACATTGCCCCCCCCCCCCCAGTGAGCTGGGTACTCGTTTTGCTGACCTCGGAAGGATAGAAGGCTGAGTCAACCTTGAGCCGGCTACCTGGGATTTGAACCCCAGGTCGTGAGCACAGTTTTGGCTGCAGTACAGCAGTTTAAAGCACTAAGGTGTTAACAACTTGTAGCAATGTACTGATACAATAGTTACATATTTTGTGGCTGTTGCAATAATTTAGGTTGATATTGCTATTTAGGTTGGGATCTTTCCCACACACATAGCAACATTCTTTCCCACACACATTCACTTTCATTGTAATGAAAGTGAATGAGGACTTACCTCTTGCATTTCCTAGTGTTTGACAATCAAGATCGTCATCAATGAATTCCTCACCCTGGATGATGTTCTGTGTGTCCTCTCTGTGGTTTACTGGGCTTGTCATCTCTTGCTCTTTTTCATTTTGCATTTGGGCATACACATTTCGGCCGGGTAATTTCCTTAAATGCAGAAGACAGACTTTGAATGTTGTATTATATTAGGCTTAGCCTTCAAGGAAGATCCATTTGGGTAAGTTCTCACAGCAGATATGCATCTAATTGTTCAGATACCATCAAACTGAGCGGCTGGATGTACTTTTTGATTCTGTGTGGAACCAGTGTAAGCCAGAAACATTTTTACATTTGGATAGGGATGAGCAGCCCAACACAGACCTCCAAGTGAATCTGTTTTAATTGTTGTTAGAAGCACAGAAAACACATATTCCATGCTTTGTAAATAGTTCTGAATTAACAGCACTGAGTCAAGTAAAAAACAGATTCTACTTGAAGACGTTTCCAGCAGTCAGGTAGCAAATCCAGATAGTATTCACACTGTACTTTTCAAACCTTGCAAGTCACAAACAGGAAGTGAAACCATCCTAAGTTTTATTAAATGTAGAAAGACAGCATTTGTGACATAAACAGTGGAATAGAAATGTTTTTCTAGCCTCCACTTGGATTCCCAGTGCCATGCCACAGACACTAGGCACGCACATACTGAGCTCCTAGACAGAAAGCTCTCAGCACAAACAAACAAAATGCAGCTTTTCCATCTTTCCCTATTTAATATTTGGTTTGGTCTTCATTTGCAGAAAGCAAAAGAGAGAAGCAGCAGTGGGAAAATATGAGAGAGTCCATAAGTGGAAAGTGGTGACTTTTGAGACCCTCTATAAAATTCTCCAAATGCATCAAGACAGTCACACAATAAAAGCTGCATCTGGAAGCAGCTATCAAAGGAAGCTTTGCAGTGAATTTCTGTTAATTGGTCAAGCCTTGAAACAAATGATTGCCCTGACTTTCTGTTTATTCATTATCATGAACAACAAATCTTTAGTAACTTGAATTAGTATGACCTGTGACTATAATTAAGATCAACTGAAGACTACGCCCCTAATTCCTACAATGCTGATGTTTATTATAAAACAGAAGAGCAGGCAACCACTGAAGGAAAAAAGGAAACATTTGTTCCTACGCCACAGTGTTTTGACTGAATGCAGAATGCTCCATGGCAGCTGCATTATGCTCAGTATCTTCTGCTTTTATTGCCTTCCTCTAGTACAATCAGAGTGAACTGCAGCAATCCCTCCAGCTTCTGAGACGTCCTCTCAGGTTGAGGCAGACCAGAATAAATCTGTCAAAATTCAGCAGAGTAGAAGACACCACTAACCTCTGCTGTACTCCAACATCCCTTGCCCTTTCAAAGGTCTTGATTATGCAAGGGGTGCTTTCACTTATCCCTTCCCAGATCAGTGGGCTTCCATTTTTGGGATGTAGATGCAAGGCAGCAGTATGAAACAGTTCAGGTAGGGGGGCAAGAGATCTCTATTTTAGGAAAAGCATAAAACGACTGCCCTTACTCTAATGGCCTTGCTTTATTTTCAGACAAAGTCTTGCTTCAGTTTTACCCTGTCCACCCCACAGAGGGGATCTTAGGCAATCTCCAGAAATGCTTCTATGCCTGCTGAAAGCCATGGCTCCAATGTGGAGTCCTGAAGGAATGGAACATCATCCCATCCCTAGTGAAGCACAGAAACCAGGACATGGTTTATAGCAGAAGAACACTGCATTCCCTAGGCTGTAGACAGAAACCAGGACATGGTTTATAGCAGAACAGGGGGAATGTTGTTTTTCCCTCTTGAACACTGCATTCCCTAGGCTGTAATCTGGCTGGCTGGGGTGGGACAAGCCAACCATGTGGTAGAGTTAGACTGAAGCTGGTATGGGTTTCAGTCCCTGAAATTTGACCCTCTCTTTTTGCTGCCAGACACATTTTGTCATTTCTTCTTTTCCCAGCACCACTGTAGGTTACTGGAGGGGGAAATCAATCACTCTTTATCCTTGCAGAGGTTTGTTAAAGTCAGTCCTGTCCCTCGTTTAAAATTTTCAAATGTGGAGGTAGTGATTTCCAGATGATACCAGTTTTAAACATGTAATCTCTCCCAATGCCATATATAAGATTGCTTGCCTTTTAAACTTGTAGAGGATGATAGCTCCTACAGCCACCAGGCAGATGACAAAAAGGACCATTATCGCCCAGTACCCTCCGCCTCCTCCAATACTCTGAGAATCTGAAATTAAAGACCCACACTGATAAATTCAGTCCTGAGTACAGTGTAATGTTCTCTGCTTAGCATTAGCCACAAATGTTTAAACCACACTTGTATACATTATCTACTCAGCCTGCAGCATACATGGGGCTATACTATTTATATAGCAGTCCTGCAAGATCTCAAAGGTCAGATCACATGCTATGGAAAATGTGCATTTCCTCCTCTGACAATGTCATCTTTACAGACATGCAAATTTTGTGTTAGAACAAACTATTTTCCTCTTTAGGGTACACAGTTTCTCTATAAGGAATCTGAGTCTCATCTACTGAGGCCCCAAGACACCACCTAGTTAAATTATACCATCTCACTGTGGGTCATCATCCGTTTTCCCTTTTTCATCTTTCCTTGCCAGGAAAAGGTGCTCAGTAGTGGTGTAGGGAAGGAGAGGAACTTCAGTGGACCTGCTATGAGCCAATATCTGGAATAGCCTTTGGGCTGCATTATGCTTTTGCAAGGAAGATTTCCATCCCTTGCAGTAAGGAGCCTAGTGTTGGATTTTACCCTGGAAGAATACCACCTACAAAAAGACTATTAAAAAAGGGTAGAAGTCTTACCTGAATCAGAGCTATCTAAGGTCACAAAGACCCATTGCCCTCCTCTCATGAAGAAACTGATGTTTTGGGCATTTAAAGACTGTTTAATAGCAGATATTCTCTGGAAACAAGAAAAATGTTAGTGAAGTTCTACCCAAGGAATTATGAGAGCATCAACTATATAGCAGATATTCTCTGGAAACAAGAAAAATAGTGTTAGTGAAGTTCTACCCAAGGAATTATGAGAGCATCAACTATAACCATGCTAAGTTCACAATATTTCAAGAAATTCAGAACAGGAAGGGAGTGGGAAAGTCTTCTTAGGATTCTGTAGGCACCAACAAAGGCTTGATAGGCACAGAATTTTTCCATATCACATCACAATTTTTCAAAGATCAGTGTCTTGCACTACTTCCAAGGATGGTGAGAAATCAGAACAATAGCCCACAGACCCCTGAATCTACAACCAATTCAATACAACATAATGGATATTCTCCATCCTACAACCTCAATACAGGCGCCACATGGGCTGAGCAGACTGAAATGACTATTCCCCCACCAGTACTCAAGGTGTCTATGGATGAGGAGGGTGTAACTTGTCACACTTGTACACAGGGGAGGATACAATAATACAGAAAGAGTTAGGAAGGTACAAGAGTCATCATGAATTAGCTGTTTCTAGGATAAGGTAAACAATGGGGTTGTCTCCAAAAGTACCTTTAAGGTGCTTGTAGGCTGAGGATTCCTACTGCCTACAAACGGCAAGGTTTTTTTTCCTAATAGATTTTCTCTGGGAATTAAAAAGGGAGAAGAAATGCTGTGAAAACATGGGAGGGCTGCAAACTGAACACCATGTTGGTTAGATCCTTGTAAATTGTAGTGAACCAGGCATTCTGGGGTCATGATGATAGTGCAGTTGGGCAGCAGACTTTAGAGAAAACTTTGATTAGAAATGAGGGTTGGACTTGATGGCTTTATAGGCTCCTTCCAACTCAATTACTCTATGATTCTAAGACACTGGACTTCGCTTGATTGGGGTGAAATACGTCAATGGGGAGTATACTTTGAATTAATACTAATATGTCAGCTTACCTTGTCAGCAGACATGGTTCTCTTCCTTTTTGAGTGGTTTGTGGATAGAAGAACATGTAAACTAGCAGTTGTGGGTAGTCCAGGTTTCACTACTGTCACCAGACTGTCTTCGGGTATACCTGTTTCCTGAAGGGAGGCAGGGGGAAATCCAGAAATGTACTGAGTCTGTTTAGCTACTTTTGAACTGCTTTACTACAGCTCCTTTTAACATGTTTATTTAATTAGTCAAGCTCTGAAAAGTACCTTGATAAAAAAGAACAATCCTCATTAGAAATATTATAACATTTTGGGAGATCTATAATAATAAAAGAATATGTGTGCTTGTTAGCCACAGCCATAGGTCTAAGACCATGGGATCTAAACACCCAAAATTTGGCATGCATATCAAGGTTACTTTAGGAATATGCATCTGGGAGTTATTTGCTAAAGTAAAATTAAATTTAATCATATGCTTGAAACCTGCCATATCATCTTCAGGTGTCAATTGCCCCTAGGAGGGGCACTTATGTTTATAGTAGATGAGGTTTGAAGCCATCTAGCTGGAGTCTAAACAGCACAATTGTAGAACTGTCTCCTGCCTGCTGCTATAATTGCACAACAGGATTTCAGCAATTTAGTCCAAGCATCTTGCAGATTCATCAGAGCATTAGCTGCTTGCACCAGTGACAGGTCTTCTGTTGTGTGGTACACAGCAACATTATAAACAATCAACACATCATTATGCAATCTGATCTTATGAACACTGCCTTAGAAGCAAGACTTTATGTGTTTTAAGGGACTATTCCAGATAAATCTAACATCTTTTACAGTTCTAGTTTTTGGAGCTGTAGCTGAATTAGTCTCTGCAAGTGTTTCAACAAGAAATACAAAACAAAACAAAAGCAAAAATAAAAGACATTGTGGCACTTTAAAGAGTAACTGCTATAGTTTAATGTAGGCTTACATGGAACATGGCCCATTTCTTCAGACATATGAATTAGAACACAGAAAGTGTGTGGTAAAACATTCACTAAGAGACAGTAGTGTTTGGTTGCATTTTACACCTGGGAATGATTTATGATTGCTGCCTGGTATTCAGGTTTACTGAAGCTTGAAGTTCTGTAAACATATGTACATTTATTCCAGATAAGTGTACTGTATATAAGATTCCACTCTGATTTCCAATATAATAAGTAATGTGTGTTTAGGAGTCAAAGGACTTTATTTGCTTTTTGGTGGGAGGCATGTGGCAGGAATGTAGACTGATATGTCCAAAATGTTCAGAAGCAATTTTGAGGATCACAGTTGTGAGGTGATACCTCATGAGGCAAAACCATTACTACTGTATATCACAAAATGAACTGTCTGCTAATTTTTTACGACTAGCATTCATGTCTGTGCAGTGGGAAATATTTTAGACAAATAACAGAACTAGCCAACAGAAGTAAATTAACAGCTTCCATTTAATTTAATTTAATCTCATTTCTGAGATATGCACAATGGGGGGGGGGTGTACAGGCAGAGCTACCAACCAAACAGCACAACTTTGAATGTTCTAGAACAGGCACTCCATGGACAGAAGAACTGAGTTGTGGGATCCACAGGAAGCACAAAGAATAGGGAAAGTAGCATACTTCTGGATTTATATCTGTCTCTATTACAAAAAGGCATTTTTTCCACTCTTGGTGTTTTTCAACAGGGGGTCATATAATTCTTCTGTGTTGCTAGATTTACCATATTTCCCTTTTGTTAAAAATATGGTTTAATGCTGAAAATAGAGAATTACATCTCTGGGAACCTCCAGACACATGCTTCTCCTGTAAAACAAGGTGGACCTTATTTTGGTTTTAATCAAACAAAGCGTGGTCCTGAGTTGGCTAGATAGGCGGGATATAAATAAAATAAATAAATAAATAAAATAAATAACTTTGTGAATGCCAGAATTGAGAAAGGCCAAAAAGGTGGTAGGAAATGTTTCCCAGACCCTCTCCAGTTGTACATTTCTGCAATAAAGGGACAGTGAAAAGAACTGTTCATTACCACCTCTATAGGCAACAAAGAATTTCAGTCCATTCTTTAAAGTGCTCGCCTTCAAGTATAGCTTAAAATAACACACCCAGAGTGGGAATTTTTCTCAGCCAACATCACCTTCAGGTTGTACATGAATCTATAATTTATCTATACTCAATCAAACAGAGCACCTTGGAAATCTGCTGTGTTACTACACGGCCAATGTCCTCCCGCCAGGCAGGTATGTTTGGGTTGTAGAAGTCCAGATGTTCAGAAAATCTTAGAGAAAGTACTTGAAAATGATCTGGTAACAGGTAGGAAAAATAGGACCAAATGATAAACCAAAAAGACAAGTTTGACTTTTACAAAAGGAATTATTTATCTATTATTTATTCATTCAAAGGAGCCCACCAAGGTTCCCAAAGCAATTATTAAATTAGTAGATTTAGAGACTCAACAACAAATAAAAACATTCAAAAACAGATATAAAACATTTAAAACATATCTGACACACTTAAAACAGTTCAAAATATTCAGAGGTTTGTTCTAAAAGCTCGTTCTAGAGTCCAAAGTTCTTTGGAACAGTATTGTTTTAGCCACTTGTCAGAAGCTCCACAGAAACTCAGTCAGCCATATTTTCCTTGGAAGGAGATTCCACAGTTGGGGTGCTGCTTCCAAGGAGCCCTGTATCATATATCTACAACCTACCACTCAGGATAGTGGGACATGTAACAGGATTTCTGCTGAGATTCTCAGACTCTAGGCATGTATGCCAAAGAGAAGGCAGTCTTTCTGATATTCTGGCCCAAACACATTTAGAATTTCACAGATCAGAACCAGTACTGTACCTTGAACTGAGTGTAGAAACAAATCTGAAACTATGCAAACAGCAATTCTGAGACAATGCAAAAAAATTATATTCAAAAAGTGTTTGCCTACAAATAGCATCCGAAAATCTTCTAATCCATTTCTTACTAACTTAAATTCTTGATACCAAAATAAAAACAATTAAGGGGAGAATTACACCTTGCACACACATTCCTGCAACAAAACCCTGACAGCTAGTGAAGAAGCTGAATTATTTCTCCAAAGACTAATGGGTACCAGCAGTACTCATTTTCACAGCTGAGGTACATAAAGAACTGTGGAAATTCAGAGGACCATAAGCTTCAGTCTGAGCAGACTCCAACTGCAATAGGCTGAAAAAGGTGGTAAAATCAGCAAAATATATAAAATGGTATAGTGTGAAGGAAAGTATCTCACCCAAAACCTGGACTATCTTGGAATCCTGGAGCATGGAGTTCCCACAGGAAGCCTGAATTGTAACTCTCACTTCCCCAACATCCGCAAAACTGGTTACCAAATAGTTTTCCAGTGAAAGAACTGGCTAAAAACAGGTGAGAAAGGGAGGTGGGATGAAAGCTTGAGATTAACCTGAAATTGAGGGCAGTGGGTTCAAGGACAGCAAACCTAGATAGATTTCAGGGAGAACAAAAGGGTTTGAAAGAGTTTACCACTGGTAGTGGTATCCATGGAAACAGCTTTTTTTTCTTTACAGTGTTTTTTTTTTACAAGTGCCATTGCCAAAGGAGTCTATCGAGGATGTTTACTTGGGAGGCCCAAATCAGGCAGTTTTACTATTTTTGTTCTTCAGAATCCCCCAGACGTTCTAACATTCCTGGACATTCTGCAAAACAAATAGGTTGGTTGCAAATTGCCCCCTACCCCAAAACTGGAGGAAGGATTTGCAGTTATGTCACCTATAATAAATGACTTTCTAGCATGTGTTTAGGGCCACCAAGTAGCATAGGGCAGCTAACAGGCAAAAGTGTCACATAATACTTTAGTTATATACATATGAGGTGGCCAAAGGGAAGGGTTTTTTAATCTATAAAGTAAGTAATTACCTTGCATTATTTTCTGTTCAACCCCCCAAGACAACTAAAGTAGCTTGTAACTAATCAGTCATGTGACACATTACTTTTGCCACTCCCCAGGGCATCCAGTTTTAGGCACACATTTGTTTACATGTACCTGGAACCGGGCAGGAGTAAAGAAGGGAGGAATCATTTTACAAAATGATAAACAAAACCCTCACTCAGTCCTGCTACTATTCTCTCCAAAACTGTAATCTCCAGTGATGACCGCCATACTTTTTTTCTCACATACACCTGTAACTCCCAGTCTGCCTCTGTAATGCTATATGACAGAAAGAGTTTTGCCTTGCAGTCAACTCATTTCCCTTGACCCCAAATGCTACACACTGTTAAAAAAAAAAACCTCCCAAGCTATTTGAGCATTGTTTGGTACATGTTAGCCCAATGAACACGTAAAAAAATAAAATAAATCAAAGACCTGGCATTGTAAGTAATAAATGTAAAATACTCAGTCTACTTGTAAATGGAATGGTTATTTGCATTCACACAGGACTGAAAAGGACAAAAGTACTTCAATACTAGTAAAAAGCACCAAAGTAACACAAGCTGCCTAGAGTGGTCTTTTAGACCATATGGGCGGGGTATAAATCAAATAAAATAAATAAATAAATAAATAAATACACGTTTTCTGGGAAGGGAGGATGCAGCTGTTTTCATCGCTTGACATGCTTTCTGCTTGGGCAAATCCCCAAATGTATTTAGTTTCATGTGTCTCTTGGATACAAGCATTTCCAAGTATTAGGGAGTGGGTGGCAGATGGCTGGGTGCCAGGTCCCCCAAGCATGCATAGTTGCAGAACAAAGGAAGATTATGTCATGGTGAGAATCATTTCCAATTGGAAAGAACTCTCTGGGTCTGCCAAGAGCTTCCTATTTGAAGTGCCCATAACATCTTGTCATTTAAAATTGTATCCAGTCGACACTGGTTATTCTGCCTTTTTCTCTTCAATTATTTTTAATCTTCAGATACCAAAGAATGCAGAAGTAGTGGGCAAACAAGGGAGGGTACAAAGTAGAAATTTCAATGTTTGTGGCCCCTCTATAAAACACAGTCAACCCTTGACTTACGAACAGCCCTAGTTATGAACATTTTGACTTACGAACTGCTCTGATAGGAAAATATGGACTTGACTTGCGAACTTGGATTCTAGTTACGAATGGGGAAAAAAGTGTGGGGAAGGCAGGGAAAGCGGGAAATTTGAACTTTCAGTTAGCGAAGAGGCTGCTTGTCTGCTTCCTCGCTCGTCCAAGCAGTTAGAGAGTGGGAAGAGAAGCCTGGGACTGCCTGGTACTGTAATTTAAAATTTTAGTTTAAAAGGTGCTTTGTTTGGATTAAATAGTGCTTGGGTAAAAGGGAGCTCGGTTTGAGTTAAAACCTGCTTAGGTAAAAACGTGCTTGGTTGCTTTAAAAGCTGCTTGTTTTGATTTAAAAGGTGCCTGGATGAAAAGGTGCCTGTTTTGGTGTAAAAGGTGCTTGATTTTAAAAGTGTTCTTTTAAAACAGTGTTCATTCCCTCTGTGGTTTCCTGCCTTTTTTTTTAACCTACGCCATCTTAGGTTAAAAAAAGAAAGAGAAAAATTCTGCCCCTAGTGGTAGGAACGGATTAACCGACTTTGCATGAGTTCCTATGGGAATTAATACTTCGATTTACAAACTGCCCTTCGATCTAAGAACCAAAAACATCTGGAACGGATTAATCCGTTTTCAATGCATTCCTATGGGAAATGCTGATTCGAGTTACGAACTTTTCGACTTACAAACTTCCTTCCGGAATGGATTAAGTTCGTAAGTCGAGGGTTGACTGTACAATGAATGAGAAACATACACTACCACTCATTTTTCTTGTTCAGTATTTATACACAGGAAGAGCGAAATGCAGAGCATAAAGGTTGCTTTTGAGTGTCAGGGGGAGATTTAGAAAAAGATATGTTAAACTGGTCAGATTGAGAAATTTAGCCCATTTCTATCACATGACTACAAGAGATGGGTTTGCAGTTCTATGACAAATGCAGAAGAAACATGTTAAATATACACAAAAGTTTAACATCTTCATCACCTAAAATGATAAATCTGGCTGTTTAAAAGAAAAAGTTTCTCTGCAGTCATTTGTCATGCAGTATTGTAAAAACGAAAAGTTCCTAACACTAGAAAAGTCAGAAGTAATTGTTATTTAATACCTGAAGGTTGTTTCCAATCCACCAGTAAAAGAGTGTAAAGTTAGAGTTTCTTGGCAAGATGACAGCTGTCAAATTCACTTCCTGGTTTCTGCCAATAACAGGAACTACTTCTAGATGCAAAGCCTTCAGCGGAACTGGAAAAAATCCCAACTATTAATTAAGGAACCATTAATTTATCAAATTTAGGTTCTCAATTCATTCAGCAGCTCATCAACAATCTTGTTTAAGCACCAGAGTGCTGAGACACATTACTGATGCATTTCAGACAAATCTCAGAGACCACGTCATTAAGAAGTTGAAGTAAATGTCCAAAGCTGCACATTTAATTACTTTCCTATAGCGCTTTCTCAGCAGAAATCACAGGAAAAGCAACTGTTATTCAAAAATTGCCTGGACTACTTGATGCCTGCTGAAATTCTAGTCAGAAACCTGAAAAAATGGACCTTTTATCTTTAGAACAGTTGTGGAATGTCCCAAGAATGTTATGGAGCACTTTACATTTATGGTGCGAGACTGGCTGGAAAGGGCAAGTCTATTGGGGGGGGTGTCTGTGGCTTGGCAGAGTGATGCAGGAAGTGCATGACCTTTGGAAGTGTCATGAAGTACAACCCTCTGAGTCTTTTTTTTTTTTAGTCATTCATGCATGGTTCTCAGACAGGCAGTAAGGGGAGAGTAAAGCTAAGATTTAAAATAGGGTACCAAGTCTAGGGATAGCAGCCAACCATGGCACAAGCTAAGATTCACAAACCACTTCAAACTATGGTTTCAGGGCTTTGTTTGTCCCACACCCCTCAACAAATTATAGTTAGGAAGCCTCTCCAAGTTTTGATGTGCAAGTAAAGCCACAATCACTTATGGATGCATGATCTTCTTTTAAGATTATGTCTGAACCAAGGCACTTGGTTGTTTCTGTTCATTGTATCCCTCAACTTTATTGTTTCAAAATACTTAAAAGTGCAAAGGTAGCATTATGCAAATTACTGTTTCACATAATCTAAAAATGAAAGATACTTATAAAGCTGATATGATGTCCCACCTGCTGTCCCTCTATGCATCTCCAACAGTCTCTTGTTCAAAGAATTCCTAGAAAGAGATCTGGGCTACTTAAAGATGAGTATTTACCATAAATTGCCATGGCATATTTTGTAGGGTATCCAGACTTTGATATAATTCATTTAAATCCCACCCCCTGTGTATTCTCAGTAATTCTCCCTACGTTTTGCCTAATGGGGAAAATTAGTTCAAGAAGGAATGAGCAGAACAGCAGCCCAATCTTCTAGAGAGCAAGGAAGGAGTTGTCTCTAGAGAAGGTGAATTACTTGCTGGAGGTGCCTCTCCTTCCTTGATTGCTTGCAGTGTTTTTTATTATTGCAGCACTATTTCATCTCCTGCAAATTATCTCCTCGTCTCTAGAGTCTTGCCATCAGCATTTTCTTTTAATATTTATTATTTGCTTGATCTTTCAAAAAAACCCAAAATGACATATTAAGTATGTATTTAGTGTAGCCTGCTTCAGGCTCTTCCAAAGGGCTTTACAAGGCACTTCTTTAGTTTCCTGAAACAATTTACTCTCAGATCCCGATGCCTTTCACTCACACTGAAATTCCCTGTTTTGTTTGCTTTTATGTTTTCTATAAGGATGTTTGCAGATTTCTAGTAAAATTGAAATGCATACAGACTATAAAATTCGATTTTCTAAAAAAGCTGAGTGTGACAGTTTTGTGTTGATTGGTTTTAGGCATCAAGTGTTTCAAACTGAAGTGTCTAAGATCTGCAGAAACTGTTCTGTGGAAGTCCTGTACATTTTTCTCACCACCCTAATCAGACTCTGGATTAACCAAACTGGCCCTGACTGAACAGCAACATTTACTACTCCCCACTCCAGGCAACACAGACTCACCTTGTCTATAACTAGGGGCACCTAGGCAGCCAAATCAAAATCACAGTCTCATTTTTTCTTTCAGGTGTGACAAAAGCCATCACTCCACAGAGAAGCTGAGCTAACACATTGTGTAATATGGCTTATTCTAATAGTGCTGAGAGCAATGAAAACAAAAGATGAGAGGAAAATGAAGTCAAGGAAATCAAGACTTACAATGAACCTGAACAAACATAACTGCTTCATCACGGCCAGCAGCATTTTCTGCCACCACAGAGACACGGTAAACCCCAGGATTTGCATAGCGGTGTTGAATTGGTTCACCTGTCAATGTGAGGTTCACATATGTTGCCTTAACACCATCGCCAAGGTTCACTTGGTATTTGGTGTTTATAATATCTCCCTATGAAAAGTCAAGAAAAACCAATATGAAAGACCAAGAAGAAGAAGAAAACAAAAATCCGAAATGGCAATGAGAAACAAACAAAATTAGACATTAGGAAACTACTACTTTCAACACTTTTACTGAAGATTACCATATCCATGGTAAGTAATATATAAACATAGGGCAAAATCCTGTTAGCATAAATACAGTTCCAGGCACTAGAAATCATTAATTTAGGTGAACTGAATTATTCCCTCGTTTTGGGATGTGAAGCTCCCTAGGGCTCCCTTTTGCCCTGGGAAAGCCTTTGAGAGCCTCATAATGTAAGGAGGAAGCTTTTTATATCACCAGTGGAGGCCTTGATTTCTCCTGATTTAATCAGATTTCAGTGGTTGAGGATGAGTATCTTGCAACAGGTCTCACTGTTATTCCAAATGGCATTGACCTATCTATTAGATTATGAAAACAGCTAAATGGCAGTGTCTAACACCAGATTTTAACTGAACCAACGAACACTCAAGTTTACAAAGAGCCACATCAAAAACACTAAGCAGAAATAATACCTTAGCTACCCTGATCCGAGCAAAATATTGTGTGGTACCCTAGATGAGAAATTTGATTATCTGGTTTCAGTTCAAAACAGAGCCCGGAAATCTGCGGAGCAGAAACATTTCTCTCCCATTCCACTCAGGAGCAGTCTGACTGAGAAGAGAGATAGGACATGTACAGCTGTAGAGTACACACCTGTATGATTTATTCTCAAAGTTTGAGATAAATGATACAGAAAACTAGTCTAGCATCCCAAACAGAATTAATCCAACCTAGACAGATTCACTGTGTCCTCCAATGATTCGCTGTTCTTCAATATGTGCACATTTCCAGTAAAACTTTGGCCCAGCTTGGGACCAATTAATCGAAGGCCCTTCTTCCTTGCCAGTGAGAAAACTTTTTGTTTTATGCTTCTCGGATTAATCTTCCCAGGGGACAATTTAGGGATGCCCTAAATGGGGAGAGTTGGCTACTTTGACAGAAGCCTGATCAATTTCCTGAGGCATGTGACTGGAGTAGCTCTTATGCTTCAGTAGCTCTCCTGGGACCACTTCCAGAGAGACCTGGATCAAGACTGTAAATGCATGGGCTTCATTCCCAAACTTTACACAGCAGTGCGGACACAGCATTTTGATACAAATGTTTTAACCGAGAGGTTCAAGGTATGGACGTAGGTCACTATGAAGTTTGGGTAAGGGTGAGTATCTCCTGGAGGAAGGATGTTCCTGGATTAGACATCCTGCCACCTGCTGCCTGAAGAACACTGTTCTTCACAGAAAGCACAGAACCAAATTATTTATAAAAGCAAAGCCATTGTCTCCCCACCCTCCGCCCCAGCGAGCTGGGCACTCAATTTACTAACCTCAGAAGAATGGAAGGCTGAGTGAATCTAGAGCTGTCTACCTATGATTAAACCTGCATAGTGAGCAAAGTTCTGGCTGCAGTATTGTAGTTTAACCACTGAACTATAAAGCTCCTGTTATATGCCTCCTGTTGTTACCAAACCAATCACTTCAGCTTTGGGAGGGAAGATGTACTATTCCAAAGTAACAAACATTATTCCCATGCTAGTAACTGTCACTATGGCCTTTTGGATATAGTTTGGCCACATTATCCTTTTCCTGGACCAACATCAGGGGATATAGAAGAAAGGCACCTGTGACTTGCAATTCCTGCTGCATCTTAAAAAGACATGGGTTCTCAATGCTTTTACTTTGAGAGAAAGTTATAACTGCCTTGGGGAGAAAGACTGTGTGGGAAGGGAAGGATGCTGGTGAGGATTTATGAATATGGAGATCTCCCTTTAGAGTCTCCAAACAAACCTATGAAGGACATGTTTCTAGTGAGTACACTAAATGCAACAAAGGAATTAAGAGAACTGATGGGGACAAAGAAGGGAACATCCATGGCAAAGTTAAGCTGTCATAGCCTTCCTTTTTCATGCTCTTGGGTATGCTCAGTGGGGAAGGACAGGAAACTCCACCCTCATGAAAGAGTCCATCAAGGTTTTGAGCCCGACCTCTCTTCCCATTGCTGTTCTGAATGATTACAAATTATTTTCTATCGCCAAAGGAATGTTGACCACAAACAACAACATAGGATCATGGACAGTGTCCACCATAGGGATGTTGCTCCTCCTCACTTGTCTCATCCCTTTACACAGAGATGAAAAATCACACACAAAAAAATCCTCCTTGTCACGCAAGACAAGAAAGTAGTTTGGAGTGCTCTTAACCTGAGAAAGGGGAAATCAGACCTCTTTTTTTGCATAAATTGACAAAATAGTACAGATAAATGCTTCTATGCAAATAACACTTCAATGCTGATGTCATAAAACAAGGAAGGCTGACACTTTGTTGCAACAAGCTCTAAGGCTAAGAAGCACCAGAGGAGATGGCCATATCTATTTTAACATTTAGTCAATTGTTCTGCACTTGCAGGGTGTCTGTACTTTGTTTTTCAAAATCAAAGGACACTAATTTGCATAAATATGGAGACCATGATAAGAAAAAATAATACACCTGCAAGGAATCTCACAGGGCTTGAGAATCCCTTGCAGAGGTGCCTTGTTGAATTGAGATTGCCTAAATTTACAAAACAGAATCTGCTAAGTATTCCTTACCTCCTTAGAATACAACTAATCTACTATTCTGGAGGGGGGGGAGATCCAACATGGGAGGTATTTTAGAATCTACTGAATGTGTGGATAAGGGGACAGTTAGAATCTGAGCTAAGGTATCACTCCCATTGTGGTCAACTGTCACGCCAAGTCCACTTCCTAAACTACATATTCATTTCTTTTCATTCACCCAGCAGATGAGAAACAACAGTATAGAAATATAGGTGGGGAAAGACAGTTACTTGATCTTGTCTGACAACAAAAGTCACATCTTCTCCAGGCTCAACAGCCAGGCTTTCCCCTTTGATGCTTATCTGTAGTCCTTTAGGGGCAGTCCATGGACACAGGTGCTGAGACGTATTTTGCTGCAAATCCACACCACCCTCACACACATTAGATATAACTTTGCGATACCTGTAGAGCAGAATAATAGAAATCATAGTTAAGGACTCCACAGAAGAGGATATCAAAATGGGTGGGGTGGAGGGTGGGGATAGTATGTCAAAAGGTAGAGGGATTCACAGGACCAAGAAGTTATGCAACCCTGCCTAACTGTGGCATCCCCATTAAGTGAGCCAGGCTAAGCCTACTCATTCCGGGAGGACACATGTTTTAGCTGGGAAGCTGAGCCACATCCCAAGACCAGGCAAGGATAATAGGGTGGTAGGGCCAAACCAGTTGTGAAGAAGCATATTTAACAGTAACACAGGACAGGACCTTCTTGGTGGCAGCTCCCCACATCTGGAACCATCTGCCAAGGGATCCTTCTGCCAGTAGACAGTAATACCTATAATCAGGCATTTGTTCCTGAAGTAGTCTCAGGTGGTTGACATTATTTCTTTATTTCTTCATTTATTTCATTTTTCACTCGCTGTTATGTATTATATAATTCCTTCAGGCAATGTGAATTGGAACACACTTGTCATGCTAGAAGTGTCTTTAAAAATTTGACTGAAATCTAGTAGGAAGTTGCAACTAGAGCAGTCCCACTGAGTCAGTGGGGATTTGGAGTCAACACCTCTGCAAAGTTCAAGTTCAATGAGCCTCCTCTAGGTGCAACTTACTACTAGATTTCAGGCAATGTATTTTATTCAATCAGGGACAGGTAACCTTTTTAAAAGTAAATGAAGAAAGAAAGATATTGTACTAATTTCCACAACAAAATACTGCACTGTAACTTACCCTGTGCTGCTTCTATAGATTTGTCCCCGGATACAATCTTCAGGAGGGGTTTCTGGGTTAAACCAAAAGTCAGCAAAGCATGTACTAGACTCAGATTTTGGCACTGCCGAACGCTCAAATCCATAATCGCTACAAAATAAAAACAAAAAATGAACCATTCAACAGACATATCTTTACAAGGAATTCTTCAGAATTTGCAAGAAAAAACTTCTACTGTTAACACTATACATGTAAAATTCATACTGCATATGCTCAGGGGACAAAGGTTTGGCTTTTGTTGTATGCTACTGGAAGGCGATCTCTTACTGTAGACATCCACGACTCACATTTCCCTTCTCCTTAGCAGGTTGCTTTTGCGTCCTACAGCCAGAAAGCAGCCACAAGATCCAGGAGACTCCAGCTTAGTCACATTGCCTGTTACCTAAAAGCTTCTTCCAAACCTCCAGCGTCCAGCCCGTTGAGTATAAAGTCTCTGGAATTCTTCATGTGACATTATAGGAAGATAGGCCCTCAGTGCTCCATTCAGTTACAAACTTTACGCAGGAGTCTAAGCAAACAGAATTCCCAGCACAGAAGATCAGATCTCTGCCATTGCAGTGCCATACCCTCCTCCATTGGTGCACTCCTAGCTGTGGTTTGGCGGGATAGACTCTGCAGGCATTCTGATAACTCTAGATCAACGGCCCCTCTAAGATGTGCAGGTGTGCGGTGGCACAGAGCTGCATTGGAGCTGTGCACCCACATGCAGTGTTGCTATTCATTTGGTTCCACTCACGGCTGCTGCATTGGAGCTGTGCACCCACATGCAGTTCATTTGGTTCCACTCACGGCTAGAACCCCCACAGTGATGGAAAATTAGAGGAACATTACTCTAGATTAAATATGGGTTGCTGGCAGCTGCCTGGATCTTCTGTATACGGAGTTCAGGACTTGTTTCATCTGCACTGTTACCATATCAATGCAGCCCATACCTTATTTGAGTCATCTGTAAAACTCCAATGTATTTTAGCCGCCTCGGACCATGTAGCTTATGTGATGTGTTCAGTGCTGACTTGCGGTTTTATTTAATAGAAAAGTAAACTAGGACTGGGTTTTGAAGATTTGCTCCCATCATATATAGCGGAGTGGTATGATACTCTTTATAGCCTGAGCCACACTGAACCTTTTTTCCTAGGTACTTGTCAGCACCTGCTATCCTCATTCAATTTAAATGAAAGTGTTACATATGGGAGCAGAGGGGAAAACAAAATAAAATCACTGTGGAAGAGAATTGAAAATCTGTCCAGCAATGTGAAAAAATGTGTGGTCACTGTGCCGAACTTATAATTCCCATTATAATTCTATTTCCATTGGTTGCCATATTTGACATGCTGGTTTTGACTTCTAAAGACCTGGATTTTAGAGCCTAAAAATATCTAGAATGAAAGCAGCTATGGTTCACACAACCTATGGCTACCTATGCATTCAGGTCAATATCTCAGATCCTATTCAGAGATCCCTTATCCCTAGCGAGTGAGTTCCAGAAGCACATATATCACTGCTTTTTCAGTCCTGGCCCCACAATTAAGGAACATCTTCCTAAAGTAGACACTGTGGCTGAATCATTTCTTGCCTTTTAATAGTCATGTATGCAAATCTCTGGAACAAGTTAATGTCTGCTACTGCAGGAATTTTTGCTACTAAGCTATGCTACTCTCTTAATTTTGCACAATTTTTTTCAAGCATTCTACCTGAAAATATGTTATGAGCTACAGCTAGGATCCTTTAGAACTGAAAGCTTGAGGATGAAATAAAAAAAAATGAAGTGGTTGCTAACAACTGAGCACCCCTCAAAGAAGGCAAGAAATAATGTTCCCTCTCAAACATGTGCAAAATCACCTCTTTTCAATAGGTTGGATTCGGATTTAGGAGCAAATCTAGCTTGGCGGAAGATTATCCCTGCCCTCTCTACTCTGTGGTACCCCTTCAATCTCTTGAAAATCTTACACAGAGAGGACTCTGGTGAACTGTGTGAGCCATGAGGGAGGGGGAGAGACCTGGAAACAAGGCAGAAGGACCTCCAATGAGTGTAGTTCTTCCATCCATGCAAGGCAGATCCTGGATCAAACTTGGTACGTTCAAACACTCGTAACAAGACATTCAAGCTTAAACCACCACAAAGACCTAATGGAAAGGCTCACCATAAGAAATCTGAAGGCCGACACTGACAAACTTTGGAAGTGAGTGCTGACATAAAGCTTCTTCCTTTAATGCACCATGATGAATGCTTCCTCTTCCGAAAACTTCTCTGTTGACCCATGATGCAGCGATCACCCTAAACACAAAAAGGTTGGCTCTTGCAACTAAGACAGCCAGTTTCAGCCTAATTGTTATCACAGTCTGTTGGAATACCAAATAACTAATTTGGGTTTGTTAAGAGGAGAAGAGATACCCAGTGTGGTGTAGTGGATCAAGTGACAGACCAGGACTCAGGAGACCGGGGTTCATATCCATCCTTGACCATGGAAACTCACTGGTGGGCTGCCACTGGTGAAACCACTCAAATATCTTACTTATCTTGAAGGTCCCATTAAGACTGCTTTAAGTTAGTTCCACCTTGACAGCATCTAATACACAAGTGGGAGCAGATATCTATTGCTCAGGCCATTTCTGAATTCCAGAGATTAATCACGTTTTTGATAAGAATGGTAGTTATGCTATTAGGAAACTCTCTAAGATCTGCAAGAAAGCTAGCTGGATCCAACTGTACTGCTCCCATATCTCTGTAGAGACCAAGCAGTAAACACTAAATGTCAGTGCCCCCCCACAAGGCCATAGTGGGTACTTTCTCCACTCCCACATCAAACCAGTCTCAGTCGATACAGAATTCCCATTCAAGCAAACACATGCATGTTCTGTGTCTATATTCCATAACTTTTAAGAGAATGTACATTCTGCACAATGTGCACTGGAATATTTATCCCCATCTTCCTTTTGGAATAATTATATTCCCTTTTAAAATTGTAGAGGTGGACTGAGGAAATTGTACTGCCTTTCTCCTAATTATCTGAGGGTTTAAAAAAAGACTTTGGTGGTATTATAAGATAATCAAACTGGTTTGTCAGCTAATTAAGCTTGCAATTTGTTTTTTTCTTTTATTAGTCCAATAAGAAGTACAGTATAACCTACTCTTACATTTGTGTAATCTGGGGGGCACACACCCTTCTCCTTGTTCTTTCTTAAGTATGGCTTGTTCTGGATTGCAGTTGTGCACAAAGAACAGAGAAGGGAAAGTGCATCATCTGAGGTAGATCCACCTTTGTGCCATGAAACACTAAACCAAGCTGTAGTATCACATCTGAATCGGGCCACTTTCATCAAATATTCAGTGATTCCTTTCTGTGAAGTTGTACCTGTAGATTCGACAATTCCCACGGTTCATAGTCTTCATCATTACATTCTCGGGGGAAAAATGGACGGAAATCTACTTTCACTAGTTCCCAGTCTGAGCGGTAACTGATATGTCCAAATACTCTAAACAGAAAGATCAAGAGCTTCTGAATGAGGTTCCAGTTAAAGACCAGGCAATGAAATACAGTACAAATAACATCAAGCATAAACACTAGGGGGAGCCAAGAACTAGTATGGTATAGTAGACAAGAGTCCTGGACCCAGACACAAAATACCGCAACTTAAACTCCAGTTTGGTTATAGAAAAACACAAGGGGATGACAATGGTAAACAATTCCTTGAACACCTCACATACCTTGAAAAGCCTACTGTCATAAACCAAAAGCAGTTGGACAGCACAGAACAAAACAAATACTGTACTGAAAGGTGATCAATGATCAGCATTTTTGCTTTTTTGTGTATTTCTTTTGTGATTCCCCTTCAGCTTTCGTTCTCAGGGGAACTTCACAATTCTCATCAGATAGATCCGAAGTTCCATGAAGTTGGTTTCAGTGTGACCAATTTAACAGTTCACATGTATGTGTATTCCATAATGTTATTCCACTGAGTTCTGAAGACTTAACAATAATTAAGTGCCGGTATGTCAGTGCTGACTTATATCAACTTCATAGAATTTCCATGTATGTGTATTCCATAATGTTATTCCATTGAGTTCTGAAGACTTAACAATAATTAGGTGCTGTTATGTCAGTGATGACTTATATCAACTTCAGAGAATTTTAGAATAATGGAGTTGGAAGGGGCCTATTAACCCATTGAGTCCAACCCCCGGTTCAATGCAGGAATTCAAATCAAAGTATACCTGAAGTACACCTGACAACTGGTTGTCTAATTTTCTCTTGACAGCTTCCAGCTTTTGAGCACTCATCACCTAAGGTAATTGGTTCAGGTAGTTGAAAGATAGCTCAGTGGCTTAGGTATCTAGCTGTGAAGTCAGAGGTTGGGAGTTCATTTCCTCACTGTGACTCCCTGACAGGCACTGGACTTCATTATTCATAGGATCCCTTCCATCTTTGCATTTCTAAGATGATTGTTGTTGTTGTACTGCTCTGATAGTTAGGAAGTTTTTCCTGATATTCAACCAAAATTTGGCTTCCTGTAACTTGAGTCTATTATTGTGTGCCCTGCACTCTGAGATGATCAAGAACAGACCCTGCCCCTCTTCTGTAGGACACTCTTTCAAGTATTTGAAAACTGTTATCATATCAAACCTCAGTCTTCTTTTCCCAAGTCTAAACATGCCCAGTTCTTTCAGTCTTTCCTCATAGAGCTTGGGTTTCTAGCTAGAGAGAACTCAGAAGTGGTTTCTCATTCCTTTCTTATGCGGGCACCCTGGGACTGTGCAGTTTCCCAAGGCTACACAGGCTGGCTGTTCTCTTGAGATGCACAGAGGGGAACTGAGCTCCCAGTCTTTGAAGCCACAGCCTAGCTCACTGAGCGATCCAGTCAGCTTCTGAAGCCGTTTTAGACAGTTAAAAAAATTCTATAATACCTGGTCACCCATTTGACTGTCTGCAGTGCCTATTTTAGGATCACTATCCAACCTTATTCATTATACATTCTGATCTTATGAAACTATAGTTTGGTTGAAAACATTACAGTGTCTCCTATTTAGCTTGTGTCCAAATACATTAATATTACTTACGTCATGACTAAAGTCTCATCTCCAGGTTCACTGAGTAGCCCATCCACAAAAACTGAGGTACTTGTGAAATTATGAGTGCTCCACGTCTGACCTTCATCTACACTGAACCTGTTAAGGAAGTAACATTTTTTATTTACTGCAGATCTGAATTGTACAGAACAGATTTTCAGTGACGACTGACCTTCAACATAGTCACTGTTGCTAGTGATAATATAAACGTAATTAGCTAGAGGACGTACAAAATTGAAAGTTACATATGTGCTGAATTCATCCCCTAGAAACAGTGCAAACTATTCTTATATCTACCGTTTATTAACAATCTTTCTGTTCATTATGGCTGTCATTTCAGTCAGCTGTTTGTTAACTCTCTACATCCCTCAAAATAGCTATATCAATTCTCTAAACTACAAATTCAGAATGCTGGGGATCTTTATATTAAAAGAACAGTAATTTCTACATAGGAAGTCAACACAAGAATATTAAAAGTGGAAAACATCATAATGGAAAGCAAACAGCAAGATGCTGTAACACAGAAAGACAAATAAGTATTAATACGAACTGTTTGCTCACACCTCAAGCTGGTCACCAAAAGTAAGATTATCATGCTTATAGGGGGAAACTCCTTGGTATTTTAACTCCTCCTCTCCAAAGCACTGTTCATATGAATGTTATAACTCTGATGAATGTGTGTACAGGACTAGTGATGTTGCTTCAACCCCTTCAACCTACACATGTTTGTTCATTAAATCAACTATATAGTCTCAATGTCGCTACACTTAGTATTGATTTATGGTCTGTTTGTATTATGGGGAACCCAGCAAAAATTGACACAATTGTCTGAATTATTAAAAAAAATAAGTTTCACATGCCCATTTGTTTTTCCCTAACAAAAAAATTTAGGCCCTCAGATTTATAGGACACAAAGGGGCCTTTTAAAGGGTTTTTTGAAAAACTCTTTTTAATAGTCACATGTATTTTTTTGGTTAATAAAAACACACTAGAGCAAACATCACCAAAATTTTGGGAACAGATTAAGTATGCAAAGTATGTATTTGGTCATGCTCCCCCCGGGATCCCTGTAGCCATCTCCCTTGAGACTGCGACCCTCAGGCTGTGGCAAATCTGATAGATGACACTCTGGCCTACTGAGAACTACTGAGAGCCCTTGCCCTAAAGAAACTCTGCCCAAAGCCTGTACTTTTTAACTATTTTGTGCCTTCTTATTTTCATAACCTTCACAGGGGTGTACCAGCAAAATCAAATCAATATTGCTCAGCAAATGTTAGCTTAGTAAAATTAATCATGTACATATTATATTAGTAAATCAACTTCTTAGAAGGAAAAGCTTATTTCTGCTGATGGAACTTGCTTGGTCTTGAAAATGTTGAAAGTGTAAAAAAATTGTGTAAAATTACTTGAGTATTTTAAGTGGAATAGAGGTATCTTTGATGGCCACAATCACTCCACCATGATCCAGGTACAAGATGTGATGCTCCTCTTCAAAAACCTACAAGCCAAGCAAACATTGAATAAAAAACTATGCTCTCATGTGCCAAATGTGTTGCCTAACTTAGTCCCATGGTATATATTTAATTTGCTGGCCCATAATAGGCTGTGCACACTGAAACAGAGTGTACCAAATATTTATAAGTTTCCTTGAACTGGCTGCATTTTGTACTAACTAAAAGTGCTTGGTTTTTTTAAAGGAAAAACAGACCTATCTAAATAGCTCTCCTGAGCACACATCTTAAATATATTTCATATGTATCTGAATATGTAAGTCTTGCAAGTGGAATCTAATCTTTCCCCATCAGCCTTTGGATGGAAAGGTAAAGGAGTTGCGTACTTCCAGCACTTGCCTCCACAATCACAGGCTGCAAACCCACTCATCACTGACATTATAACTAACATATTGCTCCCTGCTCCAACATATTACTTTAGAAAAACAGGTGGACAAGTATGTAGTCCACAAAGCTCATGTAGACATTCAATGATCATCAGCTCTCCCTCACCCTCAGCTGGACTTGCCACACTTTAATTAAGCCCAGTATCAGTTCCCATAAAAGAAATGGTGATCATAAATGTGATCATACATACAGTTGGGCTTGAGCCAACTGTATGTATGTACATACACAACCAAGGAATTAGAAGAAGACTAAGTTGTAGAAAGGCAGCAATGAAGGAGTTAGAAAAGATCATCTAGTGTAAGGATGTGTCACCAAACACCAAAGCCAAGATCATCCACACTACTGTATTCTCAATCAATAATATGGATGTGAAATCTGGACAGTGAGGAAGACTTGGAAGGTGTGTGTGATTAATATGAAATATGGTGCTGGAGGAGAACTTTACAGTCAACCAGGACCACCAGCAAGATTAACAGGTGGGTCCTAGAGCAAATCAAACCTGAACTTTCTCTGAAGGCAAAAATGACAAAACTGAGGCTGTTGTAGCTTGGGCACATCATGAGAAACTAAGATTCTCTGGAAAAGACAATACTGCTAGGAAAATCTGAAAGCAGCACGAAAATAGAAAGATCTTTAGATGGGTGACTCCATAAAGGAAACCACAGACTTGAATTTGGAAGAGCCAAGCAGCGTTGTTGAGGACAGGATATTTTGGAGATCATCCATTCATAGGGTCCCCATAAGTCAGAGGCAACTTGATGGCATGTAACATGTATGTGCAAAAGCAGGGTGTTTCCTCTACCTAGCTGTGGTAACAACACTGTCAACAGATAATATTTTTTCCCCCGGCAGAGGTCTGTTACTAGTGAACTGACCAGGGCTATGCCCATACAGCAACACATCACTGGATGGGAATTAAGACTCGCATGAGCAGCATCTGTTTGTATGTGCAGAACCTCATCCAGCTTGGATTATACATCCAGAAGGCTTCTTCTCCATATATATTTTCTTCGCTGAAACACAACACCCCCAGAGGAAGGGAATGGTAAAATGTATACCTTATATAGGCTGAAATTCTGTTACTCAGAGTATTAAGTTGCACTAGAGCAGGCCCACAGAATCAGTGGGGATTTGGTGAGTCAGTTCCTCCAGACATTCCTTCTTTTGACTCAGGTGGGCCTGATCAAGTTGTGACTTACTTTAGCATAGTGAGGTGCAACTAGAGTAGGCCCACCTGGACCAATGGAATTTATGGAGAAGTATACCCCACAAAATTCCCACTGACTCACAGGGCCTACTCTATCTGTTACATATAAAGTATAGGAAAATTACATAAAACTAAATGTTGCAGTTGGTAAAGCGATCAACTTATCATATATCTAAAACACAGATGTAGAAATTAGCCAGAAATGTCAAATAGTGGAAATCCGAGTCTGCAGAGAGAGCCAACCGATCTTTAAGCAACTGGCGGCAAGGAGCAGGCAGGCCTCCACCAAAACACAGCTGCTCTGAGGCCATTGGCGTGGAGGGAAGGTAGCAGAATCACTGCAATGCGTAGGGAGAATTTCAAAAGCAGTAGGCTAAGCAACAGGATTTCAGTCATCACAATATAAATCCTCTATGTGAGATTATCCATCTCAATTCTTTACCTGTCTCCAGGTTTTGCCGCAGTCCGATGTTATATACATTTCTTCTTTATATTCAACGAGCTGGGCACCCAGATTTCCTGAGAACAAATGCAAACAAGCAGGGATTACTAGATCTGTGCACATGGCTATCTGTTCTGTAGAGCCTGCACCCCAAGTGAGAGATTAGAACTTTTTTGTTGTTAGAACTCCCTTAAGTGCTGTGTATAAAAACAGTTTATCACACAAAGGGTTGTTCATGTGCTTCACTATACCACCCCAATAATATGTCAAGCAGTCCCAAGGGATCACATGTGAGGTTTACATTTAGTAAACTCTACCATTCTAGAGCTAAAAGAAATGAACTGCTTTAAGCAGCCCATGCTTTTCTGAAGCAAGGTGCCCCTGCCAGACGCTTGTTCTGCCTTGGCATACAGAGCTGTTCTTACAGCTAGCTTGTCTTTGCATTACATTAAATCTATCCATCTGCAATCTAAAGCAATGTCCTCTCAGCACAGCCTCACAACCAAGATTATGGAAACATTCCCCCTCTTCAATTTTTCTTTAAATAAGGAAATCTGGCCTGCACATCTGGCTACAGATTTTGAAATGCCCATAGGTCTTCTGCAGTGTGCACACTGACAAAAAATTGTGCACAGCTGAAAGCTAACTTACATTTGTAAAGTTTTGGTGGTCTAATAAAGGTATCATCCATCTTTGTTTTTGGAATATGGAGGTTTGAAACCAACAGAAATCACACAGGCTCCCAGTATTTTCCTATGTATACAGTTCTCCAACCTAACTGTTATGGAGCATTTATAAATGTGATTTAGTAGAAGCCTGTCTCAAAGCCTTCATGTTCTTCAAGTTCAACTCATAGTCTAAAAAGAAGTTGAATTTGGAACCAAGAAACCTGCATTTACAGCTATGGTGCATTACTAGTCACCCAAGATGCCTTATTCTCTTGTAAAGTTCATTGCTCAGAAGACATAGGGCATATTTGCTACTCACTCAGCAAGGAAACCCAGCAGGCCTTTTTTTTTTAGCTAAGGCCTACTGCAGAAGCAACCAGGTTCTCAGAAAGTTCTGCAGAACCTGATCTTATCTCAAGAGCTAATATCTGTTACTTGTTGACAGGGAAAAGGTGTTCTTTTTACAGTAAGCCAAGCAAAAATGTCCTGAAGCCACAATCAGTAACTTGTAAGCTTTTACAGTGATCATAACAGGACAAATGTAGCAGGATGAGTTCCTATGTCACCCCCTGAGAACCATTCTATGCCTACTTCATTTCACTCCCTCCTTAACGACAGTGACCCGTTACAGCCAACCATCACTAGTGGAGACCACATGCCAACATTTTATTTTACTGAATTAGAGCTACGTGCAACTTTCACTAAGGAACTCAGGACAGAGCTCATACAGATACAGTATTCTACTTTATCTAATCAAGAATTCTGTGGGGTTCTCTTATATGAGGCTGACAGATGGTGAGCATCGCTGATGAAAAGCAAGTGAATCAGACCACTCCAGTCCAAATTCAGCAGTGTATCTGCTACACTCAAGTATCCTAGTGGTGGAATGATGCCAAAAACATGCGAGGCTACCTTCTAACAAGGCAGACAAATTTTCCATTCTGTGTTGTTGACTGGCAACAGTTCTCCAGGGTTTCAGAAAGAGAAGGGTTTTTTGTGTCAACCCTCCTTTCTGCTGGAGATACCAAGGCCTTAACCTACAACTTTCTACATGTCAAGGATCTGCTCTAGCAGTGAGCTATTTTCTTTTTTCCGGAAAAGCTGTCAATGCTATGACAAACTCATTGCTGGGGCTCAGCCTGGATGTTTGTTGGGGCCTTAATTTTTATTCATTATGGTTTTGTTTTGTTTGTTTTTCTTTTGTTTTGGGGAGAGGTTTGGAGTATTTTATATTTAATGTTTAAACTGCCCAGAGTAGTCCATGTCACTAAGTTGGGTAGTATAAAAATGCGTAACTAAGTAAAGGTTCTGGAAAGCCCACTAAAAAACAACCTCCATACCCTGAGAGTGGAATATATTTATGATTTGGATGTCAGAGGTTTTCCCAGACTTGGTATCAACCCTAGTATAGAAAATGAAAACACAGAGTAGCACTTCCATCTCCTACCTCTGCGCAATATCTTTATGTGTCTTTTAAAAATCTACTATAAAGCTTTGACTCAAACATTGAATATGTGAAGCAACCTGAGCTGGTTAAATTTAAAATGCTACAATAAAGGTTTTTTTTAATAGAACTCTTCCTTAGGTACAGTACATTATATTCAGTACAAAGATTAATATAAACATTGAGGATGCTGTTAATTCAAGTAAAGTTATGCATTCTTTAGAACAAAAGAACAGGAAGATTCATTTATACACATGTTTTCACCCAGAGAGATTTATCTACATTACAATATATCTGACTAATCCATTTTTTCTTTTTGTTATGTGTGTTTTACATTTGAGCATTGTTCTTGAATGAGGAAAGAGATTTGTGCTCACTTACTTGGGATAAGACTTTTGGAATTTAGTGAGAATTGCTTCTAAGTAGAAAAGCTTGCAGGATGTCATCTACAAAAAGCTATGCTGACCACTAACAGCTGCTCCATTTATCTGTTACTTCCAATGGAGCTCTTTCTATTTTCTCTGGGATCTTTCCAAGAACAGAAAACAAACACATTTGTAATTTCCTGTATCAGTCTTTGACTGGGTGGATTATAAAAAGCTATTGTTTAGTCTTTAAAAAGAGGGTGTGCCTTATTTGACTGTCCTGATGCCTAACCTATACTCTGGACAAGAGGTTACTGTTGGGACAGAATGTAGAGAAACAAAATGATTTCTAATTGGCAAGGGTCGTCAGATGAGATTGCATTTTACCTCCTTATCTGTTCAATCTATATGCAGAACATATCATACAAAGCTGGATTAAATTCAGATGAAAGAGGAGTGAAAATTAGAAGAAGAAAATAAGTAATTTAAGATATGTAGATCAAACTATATTGTTGGCAAAAAAAATAGCAATGACTTGAAATTACTACTAATGAAGGTGAAAAATGAAAGTGTAAAGCAGGATTACAGCTGAAAACTAAGACAGAAATAATTACTGTTGACAACAAATGTTCTAAATAATCAAATATTTTCTGTATCTTGGTTCAATCAATCCAAATGGAGATTGTAGCCAAGAAATCAAAGGAAAACTGAGACATGGAAGAGCCATTATGAAAGAAATAGAAAAGAACCTTAAGTGTAAAGGAAAGTAGAAAAGAACCTACAATGTGTCACTGTAGATTAAAGCCAAGGTCTTCCCCAATACTGTATACAAATGTGAAAATAAAACATTGAAGAAAGCTGACAAGGGAAAAGATTGATTCGTTGGAAATGTGGTGTTGGAGAAGGCCTTTTCACACATTAGTAAAAGGGCAAACAAATGGGTTTTACAGCAAATCAGGTCTGAACTCTTGCTAGACATTAAAATTATTAAGCTTATATGACCACATTTGGGCATACTGTATCCGGAGAAGACAAAACTCATTGGAAAAATTGAAGGCAGTAGGAAAAGAGGAAGAGCTAATATGATATGGATTCACTAAATTTAAAAAAAGAAATGAAAATGCTCAGATTTTATTTCATTCATTCTCTTTGTTGAATTTTATTTAGTATCACGTCCACTGCAATGATGAGGAATGAATAGGTGTGAATGTAACAGAAAACATATTCATTCATACCCACTTACTACTTCGTGTATTTCTTTTGGATTGAATGATTAAACTAAGCCGTTCCATTCAGTTCAATTTTATATTCATTTTGAAATGAATGCACATCCCTAGTAAGAGGAAGGCCACCATTAGTTATTCTCCAGGCTTCTGGGATGGCACTAGGTTTTATATATATATATATATAAATATGATAGGAAAGAAACTAGGACAGATCACTCCTTTCGGATCTTCAGCCACACCTCGACCAGTACATGCTGATCTGAATTCGTTTACTTTAGCACTGTATTTTTGGATGTGCTCTTTGGCTATTTCCATCCTTATTTGCATCAGTGGGATTCAATATTACATCACAACTATAATTCCTTTAAAAACCTGAAGTCCGACAGTTAGTGAGTAATTCATTCTTGACTTTATTAACTTTCTGTGTCTCTTCTTCTAAGCTGAACAAAGGCCATAATATAGCTCTCAGTTTTCTTCTGGTTCTATCATTTGTGAAATATCTCTTCTTCTCTTTCCGGCATTTTGTGCTTGCTGCAGCCCTTACTCTGTCTTTGCTTCTGATTTTGCCCTGACTACCTTGTGCTAAATCAGCATCTTGTTCTTTGACAATCTCTCCTGTAATACTGCTGATTATTTTCACATAGTAATAAACATCTCAGAGCAATCAGTTTAGTTGTTTGTCTTTTTCGTGTTCAAGAATGGTTTACAACTATAACATCAATGTTGTTTTTAAAAAAATGGACAGCCCTCTCAGCATATATATGAACTTAAACTATATTGTAAACATCAAGACAGAAAACAGATAGCAATATACTGTATATTGCTATCTGTTTTCCGTCTTGGTCTTTACAATATAGTTTTAAGTTCTTTTGTTTGTTACCCGGACACGTTCAACTGATGTAAACTAATACACAGGACAAATAGGAAACTGCTAGTTGTCTTATGCTGAAGTATTCATTTTACAACAAACTTCAAATAAGAACTGCTTCACTCAGCAAAATCTCTCAAATCATTTCTTCATCCAGTATTTCTCATGGATTCTATAGCATTATACTGAATCAGTGTCTATTCTTCCACACACATCTTTTGCAAAAGATGGATGTAGAACAACGGCACTGGAAGTTTTATACTCAGAATACAAGGAGATCCAGTGCGGTATCTCTCAGCTATTCATTTTTACATGCTATTAGGAACGTTTAAGGGGAATAAGCCACCAAGGAGACAGGCAACAAGCATGGCATGTAAAAAGATATGTTCCTGGCTTCTCTTGTTTTAGATAAATATCTGTCTAGACTGGCCCTAGGAATGCTTCTGCATTTTTGTGGGAGACCAAGGTGTTAAAATGTTGGACTGTGCCAATCCTGAGTGCTATGGTGTTGTTATATTTTTCAGAATGTCTATACAACAAACTCTCGGCTTGCAGGAAACCTGCAAGGAGAGGCCGACTGAAACTCCCCCAGTATGCCCGAGTCTGCTTTTGTTTTTTCTAAAATCTTGGGTCACGTAAAACTATGTTTGCTCCCAACCACTGTCTAAAGTATTACAGCACAAAGAACAATAAACTCATTCTGAGTGGGACACCTCTACAGGCTATTGCATAAGTTATCTTTCTCCAGATGATAACAAATTGGTGGTGGGGGCATGCTGGCTGAACCCAACCCCTTACAGAAGCTGAGTGTGTGCCTGAAGTGGAGAGCTCCCTCTGCCTGTGCGATTCTAGGATCCAAAATGACATGCAGGACCAAAGTTTGCATCACCACCCCCAGCATTCTTCTCAGGACCATTTTACTCTTCCTCAGTTATGTCCAGAAACAGAATGAGCGAAGAGGACTTGGATGATTTGAGGCACAGAGGTAAGGCCCCCAAATACTGTTAAAAGCCTTCCCATTCTCTTTGTTTTTTGAATCCTGTTTTAAAATTGTAAGTTGTTTGCAAAAATGTGTTTGGATTTTGCTTTTAATCTGCACAGTGCCAAGTCCAACATCAAGTAATCGCTAATGAGGAGATCGACACTAAATGTTATTTAATTACTGTTTCATTTACTATTACTATTTCACTGAGGGCAAAGGGAGTGAATTACAAAAAAATAAAAACTTTTTTAAAAGATGCATTCAAATGTCATGATGAAGTGGGGCTCAGTAGAATCCTGGTTTATTGTGGACATGCCAAGCAGCTGGTTCCTGGTACTACTGCTAATGTTCCTGCTTGAAGCAGGAGCACCCAAACAAACCATTGGCCTTTGCTCCACGATGTGTTGCTTATCATGATATCTGAATGTGGCCGGAGGGGCCACTCTGGTTTCTTCTTCTCCTCTCAAGCTTGAGAAAGAACCCACCATTTGTTCAAGGCTTCTTTCTCACTAAAAACCATTTAGGTTAACTTTCTGCAATATATAAGTAGGATAATATTTTTCAGGCACTGTGTGTAAGTTGAGAAACAGAAAAATATTTTTGCTGTGTTCTTGAAAAAGAATGACTACTTCAGTTCATCTGTAACAACTAAAACAGTGGCAATAACAATAATGAGAATCATAATATCCTGAGTCATCTATCTCTAAATTGGGAAACAAATGTCCCAGGGCCAAACCAGACATGATGAGGAAAATTTGTATATAGACATTCTGACCTGTATTTTATTCTTAAAATCAGGGACAAGATGAAGTGGAAGCTGCATTAAAGGTTCCCCTTGACATTTAATCCAGTCGTGTCCGACTCTAGGGCGTGGTGCTCATCCTGTTTCCAAGCCATAGAGCCAGTGTTTGTCCGAAGACAGTTTCCGTGGTCATGTGGCCAGCGCAACTTGACACAGAATGCTGTTACCTTCCCACCAAGATTGTACCTATTTATCCACTCACATTTACATACTTTCAAACTCCTAGGCTGGCAGGAGCTGGGACAAGCGACAGGGGCTCACTCTGTCACATGGATTCGATCTTATGACTGCTGGTCTTCTGACCTTGCAGCACAGAGGCTTCTGTGGTTTAACCCGCAGCGCCACCACGTCCTTCATTATGCTTTGTAGCAGAATGTTAAATCACTTCCCCTACAGAGCAGCTGGGTTTTCTGTATTTTGTTGCTGCTGAGGTAGGGAAAGGAGTTTTAAGAAACATCCATCTAGTCCTGTGACTAGACAGTCCATCTTGCCCCCAATTCCAATGCTACTTCTAAGGCTTAGCACTTGGTGATTTGACACATTTGGCTTAAATTTGGCTCTAAAATGTCATAACTGAGTTGAGGAATGGACCAAATTAGTAGTGGAAAACAGTAAGTGGCTCATCTTCCATTATATTCATTAGCTGAAGCATTGATGCCATGTCACTTGTCTCTGCTATGCCAACTGCCACTTCAGTATTTCCTATATGGAAATTAATCTTTAATCTCCTTGTCATAAGAATTAACATGTGAAACTGCCATTAGCTGTTTTTACCAATTTCTCTTCACAGCAATATTACATATAGATGGTAGCTTTCCCTTACAGTTAGTATCTTTTCTCTTTATATCCTCCAGTAAATGAGATTCACTCTTCCTAATAATTTTCCAACCTTTATCCATAGTTTATTTTGAAGTGGAAGTATAACAATATCTTGGACAGCCACGAAGCCACTCCAGTGGCTTCATTGCAAGTGAAAGCACCAATTTGCTTTGCCACACACTGTCATTTTCATCTGAGGCCTGTGTGAGGTTATGCAGAATTTCTGTGGCTGCTTGAGCCACTGCCATCAGCTTTACGTTCTGTATCAGAGACAGGGACATCTCTGGTTATAGGGCTTTTGATGGTTTTGTTGCTGTACCCATTATCTTCCTCGGGTTACACTGAGCCAACAGTTCTGCAGAAGAATCTCAAAGGAAAACACTTGGAAGCCATTCTTGCTGTTGTTAATGTGGAGCACTGAGAGACAATCTCTTACAAAAATCTGGTCTGTGTAAATGCATTGTGGATCATTCTGGAAAGACATTAGTTAACTCTGTTCTAGTGGTACCCAACCTTTTTTTCACTTGTGTACCCCTTGGCAGCCCATTTCCATAAACTGTACCCCTCATATCAGACAACACATGGGTACTCCTCAAAACCAGGTTTCCCCTAACTGTGTGAATATACAGGCTGCAGGAGCAACCAATAAACAATAAACAGGATTAACAGCAACAACAGTAACACTCACAGAATTAACAACAGCAGCTCAGCGCAGCTCCTCAAAAACAGGCTTCCCCAGGACAAAAACAAAAAACAAAAAACCTTGTGCCTGCCTCCCTTTCCCAACCAGGCACAAAAGGATGGAATGGCATTTGCTTTATCTGCCAGGGCACCACATGTTTTGTTTCTTTTTACCCTTCCCAGCCCCTGTCACTGGAAGGACAGAGCCTGAAGCTGAGGTGCCAATACTCTGGCCATCTCACGAGAAGACTCCCTGGAAAAGACCCTGCTGTTGGGAAAGTATGAAGGCAAGAGGAGAAGGGGACGACAGAAGACAAGATGGCTGGACAGTGTCACTGAAGCTACCAACATGAATTTGACCAAACTCCGGGAGGCAGTGGAAGACTGGCATGCTCTGGTCCATGGGGTCACGAAGAGTTGGATATGACTTAACAACTAAACAACAACAACAACAAGCCTGCTTGCTCTTGCTCTCCTGACCTGCAGGAGGCAGGAGACCAGCAGAGGGAGTGGAGGAAGCACTGAAGAGAGGGATTGGCTTCCAGTCCCCCCTCTGTCAGTGCACCATGAATGCCTCATATCACTCTGCTATCCACCCTCACCTTTTCACCTGCCTTCTTTCAGGCCTTATGAAGCCAAGAAGGGTCAGAGCCAAGCCTGTGTCGCTCAAACAAAGTGCTCCTTTCCCTCCTCCCTTCAGTAGCTCTGAGCTGGGCCCTGCTTCAGCCATTCACTTCTTACAGGAAAGTGGCCAAGGCAAAGGGTCAGGGCCTGCAGAGGAAATGAAAACAAGCACATCCACCACTGCAAGGGTGCTGGTGGGAGACAAACTAGTAAATGTGCTTATGACTTACTTTGCACTCTTCGACAACCAGTGGGTTCACCCTCTTTCATCCACATGTGGGAAGAAGCATGTTGACTTATGTGACTTTCCATGCCATTATTCTTTTTTTTTCCCCCTTCTTTTTTGCACACCTCTTAATGTCCTCCTTCATACTCCTGGGGTTATGCATACCCCAGGTTGGGAAACCACTGTTCTAGAGTTTCTTGGGATAGCTTCAAACTTCAGTCTGTTCACACTAGAATTACAGCAGTGAAGAGGGGAAAGAAAGAACCAACTCTCCCATCCTTTATCCACCACCCCCAGGTCTGTCTCCCATCTACCATGAACCCGACACTATGTCCATCTTCTTCTCCTCAAGCCACCTCTTGGGCAAATGGTCATATTGCTTCTAGTGTCTAGGATGCTAGTATTGCGTCTCCTGCTCCAAAGGTACACGTGCATTCAGGGAGAGAGGGAAAGACAATATTTTCTTCACCATGCCACCTGCTATTCCCAGTATTCCCCTCTTTCTAACACTTGCATGCTCTGGCCTCAATACTCTTTTTCCTTACGATGGGGGAAAAACAGAGTTGGAGGTCTTGCATTTCTCCAAGATAGGAGACGGCAACATAAAGGAAGTCAAAACAGCATAGAGCTGGGGTGAGAGTAGAACCTTGCCCTTTGTCAATGCTGACATCTTATCTCCAACCCTACTATGTCCTTTCTGTGATCCTTGTTCCTCTGAGTGCAATGGAAATTATCAAACACGATGGAGGTGAATTAATTAGTTTATACAGACAGATAGTATGCAATGGAGAACTGTTTAAATTAAATCAAAGTAACAGAATAATATCATGTAACTTTTTGATCAACGAACACCAAAAACAAAGTGCACTCTCTTTTTTTTGTTTTTTTACCTGCCCCCATTATGAGTCCTGGTGCTGTATCCTTGGTATGAACCATTCCTGACACATATGGATTGTCTGGCCAGCGGAGATGGAGGTGAAGGTGGCAATCGGGCTATAAAGATAACAAAGAAAAGTCTTTGTTTTTAGCAGAATGGCAGAAATGCCTCTAGTTTTTTGAAACAGCCACATTATGTGTAAATGACATGTAATGATGGCTATCTGTGGAGAGACAGGACTAACTATTTCATGAAGGTATAATGTGGCTGCTGATCCTAAAACCTCTACTACTTCTGTAATAATGTAATGCATACTGATGCCAGCACAGCATAGTAGACATTAGACTGGAATGTGTCACCACTAACAGTCTTACATTTCTGGTGCTCTTTTAAGAAGTCGTTCTGTCCTTTATTTTGTTTCTAGGAAGTTGTATCAGGAAAAAAAATGAGAAAAACAAGAACTTAATTTGGAAAATATGTTCTCATAGTTATTCTGAAAATATTACAATTCTCTATAACTGAGGTTCATTCAGTTCATATTCCCATTTCTTCCTCACCTAGAACACATCTATAACATGCAATCATTTCTATATACACATTACATGTATATGCATATGAACAGCTTCAAAGGTTCTTCCAATATAGCTAATATGCTGTACTAGACTTAGAAATACATATGAACATCCTTTAATTCTACCGGGGATGATTATCTCGCTGCAGGACGCCTTTCCTTGTTTGCCTGTTTTGTTTTTGTTTTTTTTTGCTCACTCACTCGTTTCTGCAATCTAAAACTTTACAAATCATCACCACAGCACTCTCAGTCAATAGATGGCACTTTGGCTCTTCTTAGATTCTTACCAAAATTCACAAATAGCTGGTCATTCTAACAACACCCAATTGGAGTCATAGCCCCTGTCAGCATTATTCTCTCAAAACAGGGGCTTTGGATTTGATCTGACATTCTCCCAAAGGAAAGAAAAAATGACGGTTAAACCACTTTAAGCTTACCTGTCTTACATTGTGCTTGGAAGGCTAAGCTATTATGGACATGTATATGTTGGAATAACAAACTGTATATGAAGCAGGAGACTGACTGCATATCCTGAAATCTTTTTTGAAGAAATTTTTAAAGCAGCTAAGTTTGGGCAGCAGCATTAAGGGAAATATTTTTAAATCTTTCAATCACTGCTGCTGTTCTAATTAAATCTCTTCCCATGCTGTTCAGCTTTTGATCAGAAAAATGGTGCAGGAGAAGGTTAGGCACTTTCTTCACTCATTAGTGTGTTCAAGGTTGTAAAAAACATTGTGGACACCATGATTCGTCTTCTAGGGTCACATACAGTGTGACCTCATCTAAGACACGGTGGCATTAGAAGGCTTTTTCCTGAATGTACCTGTTGGATGCTGCAAACTTTTACCCTTGAGCCAGCTTCTCTGTCTATCAGAGATAAACCTAGCACATGTTTGCATGCAAGAAGAAATATTTCTCTGAGGTATGATTGAGTGCCAGTTTCTTCTAGGGCAGTGCTCCTCAACCTTGGGTAAAATCTAGGGCAGTGCTCCTCAACCTTGGGTAACACAGATGTTCTTGAACCACACCTCTCAGAAACCCTGGCCAGAACAGCTGGTGGTGAAGGCTTCTGAGAACTGTAGTCCAAGAACATCTGGCTACCCCAAAGATTGGGCACCACTGTTTTAGGGGATACTGGGTGCTGTTTTATTGACTTATTTGCTTGCTTGTTTGAGGTAGCAGCTTCTGCATAGCCTCTTAAAGAAGAAATAATCTGTTCATGGTGGAACTATTACATATTTACAGGGTGCAACGATACATCTGAAGCCACCTTCATTCTAATTACACTCTTGGCAATCAGCATAAACATAAAATGGCAAGCCTACAACAACAACAAAAATCACAGATGAAACATTGGAAAGGATTCCTTTTAACTGCAACTCAGCTGACCCAAGAATTTACAAGACATGGGATACATTATGCCCTCTTTCATACCTCGGAGGAACAGCTTCGTCACCCATCATGCATTACTGATCTCACACCACTATGATATTGCTGGAGGATTGTAATCATGTCAACTAGGGCTCTTCCATGGATTCTCCTTATAGTAGTGAGGTTCAGTGAAACCCACATCAAGCCACAATGACAACTATGCAATGCTGGCACCATTTCCATAGGGACAGTTCAAACCCAAGCCATGAAGCATAATGACGAAATGGAGACAATGCTAGAAGCCTACCTCTACAATTCCAGCCCAAGTGTGTGCTCTGTCTCCAAAACAGGGAGGTGTAGCACTTATCTTCAATGGAAGTCTCCTTCCATTGCCTCTCAGACCAATTGCCTCTCTGATTTTCCCAGCTTAAGGCTTCAGGACAACCCATATACCTCAAACAACCTATTAAAATGGGGTGGGGGGGAGAGAGACTCAGTAGATTCACTCATCATAGAACTGCAATGATGAGGAAAATGACACCTTTCGGAATGCAACAGTTAAATCAAGGTTCAGGAACATATTCAAGCAGTGTGAAGGTCAGATGACTTCCACGTAACCTTTTGGGGGTTGGGCAAAGAGCCATGCGGCTTACGTCATTTTGTCTTCAGAAACCTGCACAGGGAGTGTGCATCTGGATCCAGGCATCAACAGCAGGAACACACATACTGCTAATATCTATGTTATGGCAATTTTACCTGTCCTGTGCCTTCTCCCTGGGGTGGCTATAGTGATTCCCCCCCCCGACTATATCTGATCACTGACTGGAGATAATAGTGAGGATTTCCCCTGATTCTTTGCTACTGACTTTCTCAAACTGGAATGTGAAGGAGAGATAGAAATTCTGCAGTTTTCTCTGATCAGTGATGACTAATAAGCTATTGGAAATAACAATATAACAACAATAATAAATAACAAGGTTAGGTTGGCACCCTCCCTTTTAGCATTAAACTGAAAGTTAAAGGACCACCTCTTTATGCAAGCTTCTAATAATCATAACTGAGTCCCTGGATGCAGTTTTTTTAGTTGTTTTTAAAGTTTTACATGTTTTTCATAATTTGACTATTTTAATTAGTATTATAGTTTGTTTTTAATATATAATTTATTGTGGTTTTAATTCTATTTTTTTAACACTATGAGACACCTTGAGTCCCCTCATTTCGAGAAAAGTAGCCTACGTAAATAAATAAATAAATGAATAACAGTCAAGTCCACTTGTTAGCTTCTTACTTTCCCAAACGGGAAAGTATAGTACTGTGAAGCAGCATCTCCCCACATCATAGCAGGAGGATTGGAGGAAGGACCTCCTTCATGCCCAGATGGGGAGCTTCAATGGACCAGATTAGGCCTGGCGGGTGTGTGGTATGCAGACTCCCATCCTTCTTATTTAAATAACTTCTCTGAATAAATAACTTCACAGACTGAAGCCCCTACGGTTCCTAGCCCACATAGCAATGTCCTTTGATTGTCTATGTTCTCATAGATGCTTACCAAAGTACCATGTACTGTAGAGCTGCACCTACTCCTACTCCCCAATTCTTACAAAAACGGAGCATTGCTGAAAAAGTCCCTTTGAGTCCTCTAGTAGCCAACTTTTAAAAAGGTGTTGGGGACTCCTGAAAACATGGCAAGATTTTCCCCACACTGCCCTAGAGTTTCAGTGGGGCTTTTTAAAGCCAACATTTTTGGTGTTGAGGTGGTGGTGCTGGAGGCCCCAAGGGGTGCTGGGAGATGCACACAGTTCATGGGTCACAACTTAGCCACCCTGAGTCTGCTTCCTTCCTTCCATAAGCTCACTGATACCTAGGCCATCTGAGGATATATATCAAACAATTCTCCTCTCTGTTGTCAACAGGATACGGTAGCCTTCCACAGCCAGATGTACTCAGATGTGTTGGACCACAAATTCATCATGACCATTCAGCACAGACACTGCCCATGTTATTTGAGGATAATGGGAATTGTAGACAAATAACACCTATAAAGTATTAGATTGGGGAACACTGAAATGCAAGCTCTCCTGTATTGAGGGGAGGTGCTCTTTTGCAGCTCTGACTACTTTTCTTTGTTTCTTCTTTCCTCCACTCGCAGTCTCTTCTCCTCTTCCTTTCTGCAGGGTCCTTTTCTCCTCTCCCTATACTACCCTCAGGTTCGTTTTTTTAAATTCACTTTCTGCTCTTTGTTCTTCCTCCAGGCATACAAACAGGTTGTTTCCCTGCCTCTTGGTCTCCCTTTCTCCTGGGCCACCATCTTTTTTTTCCTGATCTTTGACTTCCTCTTTTCTTACCCAGTTCCTCCTATCCCCATTGCTTATGTGAGCCTTTCCCTCACCAAACTGGCCTCTCACATCAACCTCCAAAGCTAGACTGATGCAAATACTCTACTGGAAATTCAACAGATGTCACTGTGTTCCATGGCACTTCATCTTCTCAGTCAATGGGTACCCAAAGCTTCAGCCATACCACCATCACATTCAAAAAATCCCTTAATACATCATAATACATAAACAGAACAAATCTGATCCAGAAAAAAAAGGAGTGTGTGGAACACAGAAGTATAAAAAACATACACAAAAATTGGAACCTGACAGAAATGCCATGTTAGATATCTTCCATAATGGAATGGCAGGAAGATTTTTTTTTAAAGGATGAGATGGAGGGGGCATTGAGGAAGATACAGATATATGAAAAGAGGATGCTTCTTTATGGTACAAAGGGTAAATCAGAAAATAAAATGAGAAATAAAAATTAAGGATTCTTAATAATTTTATATAGCACTTCCCATACATTTTGATGTCATCCCTACAATAATAAGTTTCCCTTTGTGGTGGGGAATAACCTGTTGATATAGAAATGTCTGATATATACGTGCATTATATCAAGGTAAATCATTACATATGAAGCCTTTATGTCCATAGTGACCAACTGTCTATTTTAAGGCGCAGTAAAGAAATATTATTAGAATGATTCCAGTTCTTTTTGTGTAGATAGACCCACAGCATATCTTAAATGAGATCTGAGGAGATCCAAGCCATTTTCTTTACAGTACCCCTCCACAATTCATATTATTGATCAAGTTCTGTCTTCTCCACTAAATACCACATCATACTGCTTAGAGTTTTATGAAGAAGAAACATCATAATCAGCAGAACAACTATAAATGGAATCATCATCAAGATCATAATCCCATTTGATTGAATTATAAACAGACATAAATCTCCAAAATCAGTTGTGACAGCTACTAACACTAAATAATTTAGTTCAGTGGCAAACATCCATGCAAAATAAGTTAGGTTATTAAAAATCATGACTATCTATATTTGAAACTCTTGTTTTTCAGAAGTCTCAGTTAACATAGCCTCATCACATTGGACCTAAAAATAAGTATTGCCTCTCATGCAAATAAACAAATGGGATTGCAAAATATAACTTTCTGCTGCTGTTTGTCCAACAGAGTACAAACATATTTTTATTGTTATTTTCTATTTTGTATCTAGTTGTTTATATCATAAACGGGTAAATTCATATTCAGAATCCCTGTTTGTATAAAGAATGACCACCATCCACCCGCTTGAGCAAAATTACACTATTTAAGGATTTCAAATTGTTAGCAAGTCTAGATTACGCAGTCTAACTATGACCAGGTATTTGAAATTTGTTGTGTTCATTCTTCAAGAACAAAATGGAGAGCAGGGCAAAGGAAAATAATGCCTTCATTAACCTACTGCCTCCAGTAGTTTAGACTAGAGCTCCCACAGTTACCCTCCAGTATTTGACAGGAATTGTAGTCCAATGCGTTTGAAAACCACCAGGTTGGGGAAGTTTAGAGCAGAGTTACTGCAGAAATAAAGGCCTCACGAAGCAGTTACTACGTAAGCTTGTACTTGTGAAACAAGATGATTTGGGGAGTCTTATTTTTTTTATAGTCTCTCATTACATGTTTCTGCACAGAAATTTTTACTCTTGCCCTTGAAAAGTTTTGTTACACAAAATGCTTTGGGCTGCAACACTGCTTCACAAAATGCTGTTCCCCCTCCTGTCTTATTTTCTTAATTTTCCTGCATGAAGTAATAGAAATATGGTAATATCCACCTTCTCTTTGGCCAGTGTTTAGAACATGGTTCAGTTGCTTAAAATCGATTGACCATTTGCAACTGTTGCCATAGCTGACTTGTAAACCTGGAGATTGAAGAAACACAAAAGGTGTTCCGTCTAGGGCAAGCCCTAGCAAATCTTTTCACAAATTTTAACATGATCATGAAGGGACCTGGCATCTGATAATGCAGGACTTCCCACAAATCAAGGTTCACAAGACAGTACAGACTGGGAACAAAAATTAATTATTTCTGAAGTATGAAAGCAAACCTGTGTATATAGCAGAATCACAGTCTAGACTTTCTACTGCATTGAATCACTTCAGATTGCATACTTGCATGGTTTCCTAGGGGGAAAAAGTCACTGTGCCTAGGAAATATGCACATAACTGTTGCCTCCTGGACTTTATACTGTCTACCAGCTTTCTACGTACAAGAAAATATCTCATGGAAGAGCATTAAAATACGAGACCTGGAGCCTGACTTGGTACTCAGAAAACTGAATTTTGTGACCTAGATCGTCTTTAATTGATTAACAATATAATAGTTGTTTGAGGACTGAAAAATATCCAAGCAATCAACAAAATTTACTGTATTTACATTTTTCCTGTTTTAAAGGAGGAGTTCCCCATTCTGTTTTAATGATGTTAGGTGGAATCTTACCGGTTTGCAGTTTGTTGGTTTACCATTCATATCAACAGCTGGAGGTACAAGGTAGTCCCAGTTGCGGCCTTTGTTGAATGTTATAAGAGTGGTTACTTTCCCATCTATTTTTTGATTGGCCAGAAACACTCCCTTGACACCCCTAACCTACATTATAAACACAAAAAGCAGGAAGATTAACAAGCAATGTTTACCTCAGCATACAATTACATTTCCTCTGCATGAAAGTGAGTGTGCCACTATATCAGCTACAGTCCTGAAACCACTTGGTTTGATTTTAGGTGGTATTTATCATGCCCAACCATGTTGAGAGAGATATATACAAATATCTCATTTGAGATTTTCTAACAACTAGCATACAATTTCATAGAGAATATACCTGGTCATGTGACTCAAACATGTGGAAGAACCCTAAGACTCTGACACTGCGTGAACAAAATATAGGTGAACCATAAGGATGGACAGATAGATTAATAAAAATACAACAGCATTAAAGCTTGCAAGCTGGATAATTATTCCTTCCTCAACTGGATGGCACAGTTGGCATAGTAAAGAAAGGCAGTCCCAGAAAGCCCCAAAGGTGTTGCTTCCCTATCAATCACACATTGCCTGAAATTCTGTTGCACAGTTAAACAGATGTTGTGACTTTAGGAAGCAAATTGCTATCAGTTAAGAAATCTCTGCAAACATTATCTGTTGTATCCTGAGTCATACGACTAGGTGCACAACAGATGAAGTCTCCAGAGCCTTGTTCCCTACAGCAATTTGCCTCTTAAAAGGCATTCTGTTTATTTACATAATTGTACAACAAGTTTTCAACCATTATCATCGATTCAGCCAAGACCAAAAAAAAAAGAACCCTCAAAAAACCCAACCAAAATAGAGTATATTTATAGCACGACTATTCCATTACAACATGTGTGTGCGCGCACACAGGAATAGTGCTATGAATTCAACATCTTTAGACCAACAACCAAAGATACTAAAGTGACCGAAGCAAGAAGAGTCAGGACAACTAGCATCTAATGCAAGAGCAACCCTTTTACCTCCAGTATATCTATTAACACGTTCTCTTCAGGCTGCTTGGTGCTTCTGACATTCTCTAACACAATGGAATAGGAGATGCCCTGAGGGTCAGACTGGTAGAGGTTGTATGTGTCAGTCTGATACCATTCTTGGATGGCTACAAACACTTGGCTCTCATCAGTGCTGATAATTTGTAAATCCTGAAATGAAAAAGATCAATACAGGATTCGGTGTGTGCCAGAGAGGGTGGGAAAAAAACACAACCTACTCATGCTTTCCAGATGTATGAGAAAACATGTTACAATTCCCACTCACAAAACCAACCTCATTGGTGTTACCTGGAGGAGAAAGACAGAGAATAAAGGTTACATGGTATTATCTACTAATAGAAGAGAGATCAGCGCCAATACTTTTCCAGGAAATAAAACAGGAAAGAAGTCTTGAGAACCTCAAAGTACTGGGAAACAGACACAATAATTTCTTCAGAGAAACTATGATAGGTGGTATAAGCAATATACCCAATGGGACAGGTATTATTTCTATGGCTCATCTCCAGAAGTACATGGGATCCCAGGCAGCTTTAGCGATCCAAAACAGTAAAAGCCAGAAAAGAGAAACTAGGACCCTTCCTGGATATATTTGGCAGTACCTGCTCTGAGAGATTAAGCCTCTTTGTTATGCATCTCTTTTTTAAAAAAAAAAAGTCACCAGTACAAGAGCTTACACTGTGGCTAGCACCTGCCCTATAACATTTTATTTCAGCTTGAAATGGGAGGTGGGGAGATTACTTGCTTTATTTAATGTTACAAATTTATACCCCACGCTTCAGTACTAGTATTGCTAAGCAGGCTAAGCAAACACATATTCCAGAAGGCCACACAATGATACTATAGTACTATGGTAAGGGCTGTGGATAAGGCTATAGAAAATTATTTCAGCAAATGGTCAGTAATGTTACAGAATCTCCTTAAGAACAAACTACTGTTTGCCACTACTATGGCAAACTATGTGACGAAGAGATGATAGGGGAGGAAATTCAAACAGACAAAAATGTCTTATAGGCCACGAAAGAAAGAAACAAAACAATAATGTATGTTGCAGATTATTACCCTGGGCAATGCATATTTTGGCAGTTTCATCTGCACAAATCTGTTCCGAAGATAAGACACGTAATATTTTGTCTGGTTTGCTGATGATGTCTGTGGGGGAAAAAAGGGAGGTTCAAGCTTAGAGTGGGTATTAAGAAACCAGGGCCAGAATGCTATCAGTTAGTTAATACCGACATAAGTGCAATGGTACAAACTGCAGTGGTGAGGTGCTATTAGTTAGCGAGTTGTTGCTTGTATCCCTTGTCAGACACCAACTCATGTAATTTGCTTGCAAGAAGGGATACAAGCCACAATTCATGGACTAGCAACAATTTGCTTCTGCAGTTTACACCATTAAATGTATGACAGTATAACTAAACAATCTGGCCAAGGATATGAATCATGACCGATGTAGTAAAAAACAACAAATTTGGCATCAACATTTAGGAATAGCACTTCATGCCAGTTCAAGAGAATGCATGTACAGCATAGAGCTAAGGCTCTCAGCTACAATACAGGAAGCGCTGGTGCCATGAATACAACACTGTATTCAGTGTTGGCCTTAGAAGCTATCTGTCCCAGCCTCAGTCCCGCATGTTGTGTTTTGTTCCTTCAAATTGATTCCATTTTATCGCAATCCTAATAGGATTTCCACAATACAGTATGTGAGATACTTAAGGAGCGATTTTATCATTGCCACCCCTCTGTGAGTCCCCACAACTGATTGAGGATTTGAACCCAGGTCTCCTGAGTCCTTGGTCCCTCATTACAGGGACAATAATGCTACATTACCCAAAAGATTGTGGCAAGGAAGACAATACAATACAAAGGAAGTGGTTTGAATACTTTAGAGCAGTGGTTTCTAACCTTGTGTTCTTGGACTGCAACTTCCAAAAGCCCCAGCCAGGATAGCTAACGGTGAAGGCTTCAGAAATTGCAGTCCAAGAACACCTGGGATACCCACCTTTGGGAACCATTACTCTAAAGCCCTAAGCAAATGCTTAATGTGTTGTTAGTTTCTTTTCCAGCCTGGGTGAGAGGGATGGGGTAATGATTCAAACAAGAAGAGCTTGTAATGTGACCCCTGCACTTCAATTAGGAGGTCCCAGCATGAGTTAGGTCAAGTCCTCTTCAAACTTGGCCTAACTCAAATTTCTGTTCACACCCTAATTCCATAATTTCTGCTACCCTTTGTTACCCTCTCCCTCTTTCCTAAATCAAAACCCCTTTCAGGTGGGACCGTGGAAAAAAAACTTTTAGTAGAGCAGTTTCTCACTGGCTGCAAATGACTTCAGTTATTTCTCAAGTCAAAGAGTGATTTGACACAGACCTGAAAGAAGTACTTCTCAACCTTTGGCCCTACAGATATTTTGGACCTCAGTTCCCACAATACTCTCATTGTTGGCAATGTGGTCTGGTGCTTGTGGGACTTAGAGAGTCAGTTTGCAGTTCCATTTTCGAAGGATTTGCAAAGAACGATTTTAGGTTATGTATCTATTCACAAGCTCTTCCTTGCACAAAGTTTTAATTTTGGATTTAATGGTCTTCTTGTTACATAAGAGGCAACCCTAAACACATTACTAGAAAGAAAGCTCCATCTGATACAATAGGACTTACACACTAGCAAAGTACACAGGATTGTGCAAAACATTTTGTCATTTATCCTCCAATTGGTGACATTACCTGAAGAAATACGTAGTCATCCTGCACTGTCAAGGAGTTCTTGTCAATACTACCAGAGAAAGGTGATCTTAATGTTTTATCAGAACAATTCTGAACTTGACAGGCTATGTAGTAAAAATCTGTAGAAAGTGCAGGAAACTATTTAGTAGATATAATATAAACAAAAAACACACTTAACATTATAAACTTTCCAACATTTTCTCTTCCTGTTTGTTCATTCATTTGTGATTATATCTCACCCTTCCTCATAAAGAGCCCAAAATCAGTTAACAACAGACATAAACACACAACAGAACAGAGAAGGAACATAAATCATAATTATAAGGTCACAGAGATGTAATAAAACAAAAGAAAATCACCAGAAAGAACAAAAAAAACATAGTGCTTGCCTATTCCTTAAAAGAGCACACAAATAGATATATTTTAAACTGCTCCCTAAATGACAAACCACAGGGACAATCAGGCCTTCGCTGAGAGAGAATGCCAGTGCCAGAATGAGACCCCCAAGAAGTATGGTTGCCTGATAAGCCCCATCTACTCAGGATAAGATTCTCCTCTTTAAAACAAATTCATCCTGTTGTTAAAATGGATATGCCTGACAAATGTATTATTCAGTGACCAGTGATATCAAATATTCCATTCATGTACTGAGAAACATGCAGGCAAAAGACCTTCTCCAAAAGACTGGGATTTTCAGAAAAGGATGGGGGTCCTCCCTATTAGCCTTTAGAATAGCCAACCAGAGTAAACACAGAGCCAATCCTTATCTGGCACTACATCTATAGTTTGGGGCACCACTCCCCCTATTGATGGGGGAAGATAATGATACTGTATTTTAACAGAGTTATTACTATCAATTGTATCAATAAACTTGAGAATCTCTCTTATGTACTAGCATCTTGTTCACAATGTAGCTGTAACAATATTGTATCTCCACTGTATCGACAGTGGTGCCTCGCTAGATGATTGCTTCGTTTAACGATGAATTCGCTTAACAATTAGTTTTCCGGAGCGATCTTGTGCTCTGTTTAACGATGTTTCCTATGGGCGATTTTTGCTCTACGATGGTGGGGACCTTGCCTTGCAAGAAAGTTAATTTTCGGGTCCCTGTGTTTCGCTTTACGATAGTTTTGACAGCTCGGGTTCACTTCGCTAAACGGGCGTTTGAATGGTCACTGTTTCGTTAGATGGCTGTGTTCACTTGGGAAACGCATTTCGCTTCACGATGTTTCCTATGGCGATTTTCACTTTACGATGGCAATCCGTTCCCATTGGAATGGATTATCAGGGTTTCAATGCATTTCAATGGAAAACCGCGTTTTGCTTAACGACAAAATCGTTTGACAGCGATTTTTGCGGAACGCATTAACCTCGTTGTGCGAGGCACCACTGTATATCACAAACACTCTAGATGCACAGTACCAGTTATGGTTTTATACACTATCTCAATTGTATTTTAGAATCTGATTTTGTATTGTATCTTATACTTCCTTAATGCTTTATACGTTTTATACATTCTCCAAATGGTATTCTGATCCTGCCCCTCAGACTAGGGAACAGCAGAGGCCATTCAGGCCCCCAGGCCTAATAGCCAGCCATACCTGATGGGAGTCTTTATGGCCCATCCATGGGCCATCTAAATAAACAAAGAAACGTATTCCCAAAGGCTTTCACGGCCGGGATCTAATGGTTGTTCTGGGTTTTTCAGGCTCTTTGGCCATGTTCTGAAGGTTGTTCTTCCTAACATTTCGCCAGTCTCTGTGGCCGGCATCTTCAGAGGACAGCACTCTGTGCAAACAAAGAAACCCCCATCCTACACCAGGAACTGACATTGTGGTGGTAAAGTATGGCCAGATGGTTACACTTAGAATAGCAAAAGGGCCCTCTATATCCTGCCAAACTGGCATTGGAATGTCAGGGGAGGAAGGCAGCAATAATGGATACTCTTGTTCCCAGACTTTCAGGCACATCATGGGCACAGGTCAAAGAAACATCAGGGCATAAAATTGATATTTTCTTCTGACCAATAGATTGGCTAAGTTAGCATCTCAGATCCAATGAGGAGCAAGATCCAAGGTTGGGGTACAGACGACCAATAGGTCAACTGCAGAAACGGCCAATCACGGCCGAGATCCAAAAGCTGGGATACAGATGACCAATAGCAATGTAGTACTTTTATGGCTCTTTGTCTGTAACAATTATAAAACATAGGCTCACTCTTTGTTCTGGGTCTCCCTCTGTTTTTAAGATGGGAGGCCCAGCTGAACTTTTGTACTTTTGTACTTTAATAAAATTGGCTTGTTCAGCTGACTTGTGTCTTATCCTGTCTGTCCTTGAAGGAGATTCAAACTTAAAAATATAAGGTAACACTATGAGTTGATCCAAGTCACTTTATTATTTACATTAGCAACTGGTAGGATGGGCTCATCTGTAGAACAATGAACTAGGAAAAAGTGGATGACTAAGAGCAAGTGGCAAGCATGCACAATTCGTGTCACTGTACAGTGTAAGTACTGATCACAGGACACATTTCATTTATTAAAGCATGAGCCTTAGCTTTCAATTCCCTGCCTTGATGAAGCCAAAGCCAGCATGAGCTGGTCTTGACTTCTGTCTTAAACAGGCAGGTTTTTAATCAAATAATAAACATCAAGCCAAATCACATTATTTATGGAAATACTGTTGTTAACATAAACCAGGTCTGGTGCGGAAACATGTACAGTGGTGCCTCGCATAGCGACGATAATCGGTGCAGCAAAAATCACTGCAAAGCGATTTCGTCACTATGCGATATTAAAAAGCCCATAGGAATGCACTGAAACCCCTTCAATACGTTCCTATGGGCTTCAGACTCACCTTTAAGTGAAAATCTTCCATACGGCGGCCATTTTCACTGCCCGGTAAGCTAGGAATCCGTCCAGAAAACAGATTTTTTACCTGGTGGCCATTTTGGAACTGCTGATCAGCTGTTAAAAAAATCATCGCTTTGCGATGATCGGTAAGTGAAACAAGGTACCGATCATCGCAAAGTGATTTTTCCCCATTTAAAACATTGCAATACGATCGCAAAAAGTTCGTCGGTATGCGATTTCATCCTTAAACGGGGCGCCCGTTAAGCGAGGCACCACTGTAATTTAAATGAATTGAAAGCTTCATATACAACTCCTCTTTTAGATTCTGAGGCTCCTTTTTGCCTCCTTCGAAATGAAACAAACCTTCCAAAAAGAAGCAGTAGAAGAAATGTGAAATGATATTGACTTAACTGAATTCAGCCATTCACTACTTACTCACAGGGAAGAGTGCTGACTGAACCTGGTACATTTGCAAGTCCAAAGACACTCTGATAGCCAAAGAAAGCTTGTATTGTGAAGTCTGTCTCTCACACTCACACTCATACATATATTATATATCATATGAGAAAGCATGCCTGTAACACTAGGATTAGACTGATCTCTTGTGAAATGCTGCAACAGTCAACAAGGACTCAACATGACAGTGGTAACACACCCAGTAAATGTAGAAATAAAGAATCATAGCACCACTGTGGTAAAGGTAAAGGTTCCCCTTGACATTTAGTCCAGTTGTGTCCAACTTTAGGGGGCGGTGCTCATCCCCGTTTCCAAGCCATACAGCCAGCATTTGTCCAAAGACAGTTTTCGTGGTCACGTGGCCAGTGCGACTAGACATGGAACACCATTACCTTCCCACTGTGGTGGTACCTATTTATCTACTTGCATTTTTACATGCTTTCGAACTGCTAAGTTGGCAGGAGCTGGGACAAAGCGACAGGAGCTCACTCCATCGCATGGATTCGATTTTACAGCTGCTGGTCTTCCGAACCTGCAGCACAGGGGCTTCTGTGGATTAACTCAAATAAATATGTGCCACATTAAAAATAAGCTTCTTAGTTTTTATAAATCTAACTAAAAATGTTCAACAGTGTAGGAGAAAATGAGTGCCATGTCGCAACACCTACCTCCACTGGGATCTTGGAGTTCCATATGAACCAAATTAGGGTCTCCATCAACTCCATCAACAGCCCTGGGAGTATAATATAATCAGAGGTTATCCTAGGACAGCTGCAGTCACTGAGTAGGTAAACAGAAGGAGCTGTACTTGTTTGTTCCCAATACCATGTTGTTGACAGAACACAGGCATTATGTTCACTGCCTCACGATTTTCAAGTGGAATCTCATTTTCTCTCTCCCTCTCCTCCCCTCTCTTTCATTCTTATCCCCTCCCCTCTTTCCACCTCCCTCTCAAAAAAAGACAACTACAGTGTTGGAAAAAACCAAGGAAATAAAGAATGCCTTTAAATGCCATTTGAAACAGGATAATTCTGGGCGTCAAAAGGCTGCTCATCTTTGGCTTGGTTGTCCCATTTTCACCTTAAAACATCCTGCAAATTAGCTTACCCCCAAAGAAGATACCTGGGCCAAGGTTATTCAGACAGTTTTATGGCTGGGTTTCTGAGCTTTTAAGTCTAACATTCTATCTGCGATACACACTGTGACTGCAAGTGTTAAAAAAAAGGGGGGGGGAATCTGTGGATGCAACATAGAACTACACTTAATAAACAGTAAGTGTTACTGAAGGCTCTTCCAACAGAAAACCCCCACACTGCTTTCTTCTGCTTGGTAACAAAGGATTGCTGGGCTTAGTGTGATTCATGTCAAAACCTCTTTGAAAAAAAACACTTCACTTAAAACAGTAAACTCCTTTGCATTTTTTTTAACCAAGTGTGAAAGAAATCCAGCTAAATGACAGGAGATTCTATTCTGGAACGCCCCATCCCCTTTAGTTAATTCAAAGCTTAATTGAACGTTTCTGACTAGGAGCCTGTGGTGGTGAAGCAAATTTCCTCAGGGAAGTGCCTTTGCACTAAACTCAGTCTGCTATAACACACTGAGATTTTTTTTTCTCAAAAGCAAGCCTCAGAAAGGGACAAAAAGGCACTGATTTATACTGATCAAACTGGGCCTGGAATTACATCACTTAGATGGAAGGGGAAATACTGATATGATTAACACTGAGTCAGGTACAATCTGGAGAACTAACGTCCCAGCCTGAATAGCCCTCAAGTTATGTTCTAAATGCTGATGATTATCATATCTGAATATCACTGGCTAGATATCTTTTAGGACCAATGAAAGCTTCTGTTCATTCACTCTCAGCTTTGAACTCTGTTCACTCAGTGAAATATGGCTAAGAAATCCGTTTCATTCAGTTTTGAATCCCAATATAAGATATTTCTGTTCTTCCAAATACAGGAACAGATGATACTTTTAACCGACCATTAAGAATATAAAACAAAAACAACAACAAAACAGAAAGCTTTTGATGAGAAAATATTTTTCAAGGCTGTGTGCACCACGTTCTTGTGGGTAATCCCAATTTATATGCTGTTATTAATGTCTCAAAACCACACGGCTGATGATGTTGAAGACAGCTTGGCTTCTTAGATAGTGAAATGCAGTATGCAAGTTGTTTTCAAACTCCTTTGTCGCTAGCAGCTTGGAATTTATGGCCCATCTCTTAAAACAGAGGCCAGGCAATCTGGGCTTCCCCCACTCCCCCTTCTCTGCCTTTTGAAACTCAAAGAATTTCAATTTTGCTAGAGAAGTTAAGAATGTCCAGGAACATGGACTGCTTCTAACAGAGATGAGACTGGAAATTTAGTTAAAACACCAAGAACAGTGTTTATTATATATTCATTATTTTTATTTACAGTAGGACCCCCATATCCACAGGATCAGTATCTGTGATTTCACTTATCCGTGGTCTGAAAATATTAAAAGAAAAAAACTAGAAATATGTATTTTCACAATGTATTTACCAGAACTGGTCACTAGAGAGAGCTAGAGTTGTAATACATGGTGAAAATACTTTTTTTTTTTTACCATGATATGCAAAGCGTTTGCCGTTATCCATGGTTTTCAGTATCTGTAGGAGGGCTTGGAACCAATCCCTTTTGGATACAGGGGTCCTACTGTATAAGCCGTTATTCTCTTCAAAGAGACCCAGAATAGTCCACAACTCAAAAACATTACATATAACAATAAAATGCTTCATATAAATGACAATACAATAAAACCTAGCAACAATGCTAAAAAATTTAATATATATAATTTATGTTACCACATGGAGGCCCACTTAAATACCTCTGTCTTACATCTCCTCTTGAACCCCTGCAGTACTAGAGTTAAAACTGAGCTCTGAGGGACTCAACATGATATTTCTCAGGGAGTTGACAGACAGTTCTCTACCATTACTCTCTGGGTCCTCTTGCAGAGGAAAGATGAAAAAAACAACAACACTGCAGTCTTAGTCCACCCAGGTCTCTCCCTATCTCCGCAACAAAATACTGTGGTCCACTGTTATCAAGAGGTGTTGAAAGATCTAATAATATAATCAAGGATGACTTCTCCTTTTCTTTATAGCAAATTAGATCATCCACTGGGGCCGCCAGAGATACTGTCTCAGATACTGATACATGGGTGTTTAGCCCACTGTTTTGTCCGTTGCAGGAATGGGGTAGTTTGCTCCTCAAGACAGTGATCGGAAAATGTCTTCGCAGCAGTGAACCCACCTGCCCCTAGAGTGATCCTCTCCACACCTTTCTGGCCCCTGTCAGGGGGTTCTACTTTTTTGGTACATGAAGGATGGAGATGAGGACTATCCCAAGCTCCAGAGTGTCATGTCTTTCAAACAATCCAGTATCTCAAAGAATTCAGGATATGCCTGATGATGTTGAGGTGACAGTAATAGGAAGAATTAAAAACAGTAAATCTAAATTTGTTTAATTTTTTTAAAATAAATTTTTGGAATTCATGTATGAAAAAAACCAATCTTAGGTATTTGAAACTTTACACAATTTCTTATGCTCTCCCCAAAAAATGAGAGAGAAAATAACTGAGTACTTGAAAGGATTAAAATCATCTTTTAATAAGTTCTTTTCAAAATCTGGAAAGAGGACAACTGGATTGCAAATCCCTTTGAAAAAAATATGCCTGAGCTGCTAGATTATCAATCAAGGAAAAAGTGAAGTTGACCTGATATGACTTCAAAAGCTGAATTCAAGGAAAAATCTTACATTAACGTTCAGGCAGACATCAGCAGAGAATATGAACAGCTTCCTGACAAGGAGCCTAAATTTCTGTTTTTGTTTGCAAATACAGAGCTGCTGGAGAGGGATACAGCGGTGCCTCGCTTTATGATTGCCCTGCATTACGACGAAACCGCTTAACGATGATCTTTTTGCGATCGCAATTGTGATTGCAAAACAATGGTCTGAATGGGGGAATTTCGCTTTGCAATGATCGGTTCTCTGCTTCAGGAACCGATTCTTTGCAAAACGACATTTTTGAACAGCTTGCCATTTTTGAACAGGTTTCAAAATGGCCGCCGGGTGATTAAAAGGGCTCCCCGCTGTGTTTAGGGATGGATTCCTCACTATACAGGCACCGAAAATGGCTGCTGTATGGAGGATCTTCACTGGACAGTGAGTTTTTACCCCGCTGGAACGCATTGAACGGGTTTCAATGTGTTTCAATGGGGTTTTTATTTTCACTTGACAATGTTTTTGCTTAACGGCGATTTTCCTGGAACGGATTATCATCGTTAAGCGAGGCACCACTGTACCTTTATTTTTAAAAAAATACCATAATAAACTGAATACAGTTTCAAATTTAAGACTATCTTCCATCAGTTGAACCTGATTTCAAATGTGCCTCAAAACAAGTGAAAGGACCACACCAAAGATTTGTTGTGTATAAAATATTTGTTGTGTATTTTATAAATATTATTTCAAAACATATTAATTTTTTTCAGTTATTAATGAATCCAGTAACAAATGTCATGTATTAATTACTGTAATGTAGTTTATAATGTAATCTCTGATATAGTTCCTTGAATTCATTGTATCTTTTGAGTTTTGATTGTAAATACTGTATATATGCAGTGTCTGTTCACCTTGTTATTCCATTGCTTTTCAGTCCAATTATTGAGCTATTTATTTACAGTTTTAACATATAAATTTAAGTAATAGCAACCATGTTAGCTACAAACCTTTTGCTAATACGAAAGCTACAATTTATGGAAATGGTCTGCCAAGGGGTATGTGAGTGAAAAAAAAAGGAACCACTGCTCTACAGAATTGTCTCCTATCTGTCCTTCTGCATCACAGCACTACTAATGTTAAGTGTACCTAGACACATTAATGGAGCAAAGATGTGTAATTCATCATGTTAGTTTATGAGAAAACCTTGATTAATCACCCAGTCAAAACAGCATTATTCATAACTACAATGAAACAACTAACTCAAAATATGTTGTTGATACACACAGTTAACGGGGATGATTTTTTTTAAGTGGACTAGATAAACAGTCTGCTCTAATTAGCATGGAAGACTAATGTCTTCTGGCACTTTGAGTTACTTGCAAATACATGATCTTCACAACAGAGAATGTTTAATTTATGATTTTGTTTTTTGCCAAACAGATTTGCAGATTCACTTATGACATTCCTGTCCAGTGTTGCATGATTTATATTATCACTCTCTTCTGCTCCTTCACCTTTCAACTTTACGCATTTATTGCTAGTTGAATAGTAGCTTGACTGTTGTTTCTCACAAAAAAATTAAAAAGCAGCTAGTCAAAGTGAAACACAGGCATTTTGTATTAACAGATTAATAGAATCATGATAGTACCTTCAAACCAACAAATTAATGTTTAATACTACTTGGTGTTAGCTCCATGTATTTCTCTACTCATTCAGTGTACAATTTAAATTCACAGGAGTAAAAATTTCCCTTTTGTTGCAGTGTCTATCACAGCCATTTTAGACCCTGTTGCTTGAAACTAGGGCATTTTACACTGAGGCCTGATAAAGCTATGAAACTTAAAGCATGAAACAGAGTTGTGATTTATAATCCAGGAAAACTATCTAAATGGGCCTTACTCCTGAGTTGACATGCATTCAACTGTACTTTGAGAAAATGCTTTAGCTATTTCTGTTGCTGCAGTGTGGCCCCCACTTCCTTTCCCAAATGACCACCTCAGGCTGAAAAATTTCTCACTTGGAAATAGGCAAACTAAATTTATTTATATTTATTTATTTATTGTATTTATACCCCGCCTATCTAGTCATTTTGACCACTCTAGGCGGCTTACAACATAAGGATAACTTCTTTTAAAAATTATAACAGTTTAGCTGTTATAAATGAGCTGCTGTTATCTACAAAACTGGCTCCTCATAAACTCAAGTGGCTTTAGGAGAAGAATTAGACTGATTTGTGGAAGTTAACAACGGTCATAGCGAAATTCAGTTACAGTGTTTGTCAATTCCATGTTTCTCCTGTCCCTCTTCCAAGAGCTCAAAACAGCCTTTTCTCCTCATGGGAAGTAGGTTAGGCTGAAGACAAATTGGCTCAAGGTGATCCATTGAACTGTACAGCTAAACTGGAGAGTCATATCCAAGTATCTCTGGTTCCAGTCTTATACTCTAACCACCTCACACACTGGTTCTCCATGCTGGGGTAAAAATACAGTGGCTCTCCTAAGCCTCTCTTACTTGTGGGCTTCCGGCAACATCTAGCTAGCTAGAAGCCACAGGGCAAGTCTTCTGTTCATCTGACCTTGGGACATTCTTTGGGGCCTCTATAATATTAAGAGGGGGAAAAGTGGTACCTGTTCTGTTACATGAATCCAACACCTTTCATTATAGCATAGTATTGCTATGGCTTGCCTACGAAGTAATAAAAGGATATCCATTACCCATTAATATCTGCTGGTATGTATCTTCTGGAGCAAGACAGTATTTCTAACAGCAAGAATGGACAAGCAAAGGGCCACATGACCACTTTGAGGAAAATGTCTGTCTCATTCCTGTTCTTCGTACTCAACTGATACCTGCTCACTGGCCACTACTCCTACGCCCATCCACAGGTGCAGCGGGAATGGCATCAGCAGCAGTGGCAAATTGTTGCTGAATAAAGAGTTCTTTTAGAGGTTTCAGTGTATGTGTGACTTGCATATGATAAGAAGAAGATGTATGGGCTCCACGATTGAGAACTCTTAATCAGCAGCAATCAGCTGTTGACTTGACTCTCATTGCACCACCCAAGCTCCATAAAAGGATACTGGCTATTATTCATCTACACATTGGCTGAAAATCTTGTTCATTCTACTTGTGTAACTGTTCCAGGCATTACATTCAGGCAACAAGGACCATGCAATTCGAATACACAATCAGTCATGCAGCTCCTGTTGTAACCATTGTGTGGTGTGTACATGCAGAAATACTTCAAGAATAGTACTTCTGCTTTGCCACAATTTTCCAAACTGGTTGTGCTACTTCATGTTATGCCCATGGAGATGTGCAACAGGATTTTAGTCATTATTTGTCTCAATGATTATGTGTTCTTGTCATAAACGTTTACATGAGTCAATCATGAATTCCAGTGAAAGTGTAAAGATAGTAAAAGACTTCCAACCAGTATGGCACCAGAAGGAAGATGCTAAAGGGTCTGATCATGGTCTTCAAATAATTCCTGACAAATTATGGCTGAAATCCAGTAGTAAGTCACAACATGAGTAGGTGCACTGAATGAATGGAACTTACACAGATGTTGCCTCAGCCGATCCCCACTGATTCAATGGGCCTACTCACGTTGTGTGTTTCTGATCATGGGGCGTTCTTGGCAAAGAAAGCAGACCGCCGAAGAATTGATGCCTTTGAATTGTGGTGCTGGAGGAGGCTCTTGAGAATCCCCTGGACTGCAAGGAGGACAAACCTATCAGTTCTAAAGGAAATCAACCCTGAGTGCTCACTGGAAGGACAGATCCTGAAGCTGAGGCTCCAGTACTTTGGCCATCTCATGAAATTCCAGTGAAAGTGTAAAGATAGTAAAAGACTTCCAGCCAGTATGGCACCAGAAGGAAGATGCTAAAGGGTCTGATCATGGTCCTCAAATAATTCCTGACAAATTATGGCTGAAATCCAGTAGTAAGTCACAACATGAGTAGGTGCACTGAATGACTGGAACTTACACAGATGTTGCCTCAGCCGATCCCCACTGATTCAATGGGCCTACTCATGTTGTGACTTATTCGTGGATTTTAGCCCAGAGTTCTAAAGACATTTTAACCAAACAACATTGGCGTGCTCTGGTCCATGGGTTCACGAAGAGTCGGACACGACTAAACGACTAAACACACACTCATGTTGTGACTTATTAGTGGATTTTAGCCCAGAGTTCTACAGACATTTTAACCTTTTTAAACAACATTTGTTTATGTAATTATACAAAAAGGTCACTTAGAAAGCATGTTTTAAAAAAAATATCTATTGGATTACTTAGGATTGCAAACTTCTGGTTTGAAAAGTACCTGGGTCTTGGTCAGGTCATTAAAATTTGACATGTCCATATGAAGATTTACAGGGTCTTGGTCAGGTCATTAAAATTTGACACATCCATATGAAGATTTACAATCACTAAAACACACACACACACATTCAATTAACATAGTTTAACTCTGTGCCTCTATTTATTTTGCATGTTTTAAAAAAAATATCTATTGGATTACTTAGGATTGCAAACTTCTGGTTTGAAAAGTACCTGGGTCTTGGTCAGGTCATTAAAATTTGACACATCCATATGAAGATTTACAATCACTAAAACACACACACACACATTCAATTAACATAGTTTAACTCTGTGCCTCTATTTTATTTATTTATTTATTTATTTTGCTTAGAGAGCCCTCAAAGATCAATAAATTTCATTTTTTTCTGCTAATTTTGCCTTCCTTGGACTTCTAGTGAAGAATAATATGTCTCTTACCAAAAAATATGGTCCTTTGACACATGATCCTGTATGTGAATCCACTGTCTCCCCAAATCAAGAGATGCATAGAGCTTAAAATAGAAAAAAACAATAACCCAGAATCAGTCAAGTTGCCATTTGATCCTTCTTTTGAGTTCCAGTAAGTGTGAAGAAATGAATGGGAGGCGAGTCGATAATGAGACAGAGACCCAGCCGAACTTGACAGACCAAACTGATGGCTGCAAGTCTTTAATATAGGTTCACTGTAATATCAATAAAGTATGGCAGAGAAGGAAACTTTTTTGGAATACAGCCAAATAATCACAGCACACCGACTGGTTTCAAATAAAATGGACATTGATCCACAAAGGCTCACACTTAAAAATAATTGCTAAGTCTTTAAAGTGTTACCATGTTTTGTGTTTCTTTCCCTCTTGCCCCACTTTCTTTTGCCAGCTCCTTGCTTGGTGAAAGAGGTATCATACAATGACTGGCGTGGGTGACTAAATGTCTTGTTCATATGACATCACCGCCACCACAGTATTTTTTGATAGAGACAATTCACATATTCAGATGTGAGGCAAACACTGAGTGGCAGAACAGTGTGGTACATGCAATGCCAAATGACTTCAAGAAGTAGCTTCTATTTTTCCCCCAGTGCTAAACAATGCCATAGTTACTTAATAACATTTCTATAAACCAACTAGAACACATTTCAGTTTGACAGTTAAGAAATATCAAAGGCAAAACCACATAACAGCTTTCAGTTTTTTACCTGTCCCTCCTTGGTGTAGGCGAGCACCTTATCCTCTTGCTTTGGATGAAAAACCAGTGTTTCCACGAAAAAATTAATGGGTTGCTTTTGAAAAGTAGCTCCTTCATCTGTGCTAATAAAAAGGCTCTGGTCCAGATCATTATGAGAAGAACTGACAAGAATGATCTATAACAGAAAAGAAGAACAGATCACCCAAAAAGGTCTGAGATATTTACAGTTATCTTCTTTATCCTGTTAAAAGGGAAAGAAATGTAGGAGTAGGCACACATGTTTTGCCTGTTTCTTGAAAAAATATCAAATAAACTCAGTAGAAACATACCCCCCTTTTTCCCCCAGTCCAAATCTCAAAGATGTATGTGTTGTACCAATTATTTTGATATATCCCAGGTCACAAAATCAATATATATGGGCCATGTTACAATAATTTAATTCCACAGAATTATGCTCCTTCCCCCAGATTCTGCAATCACCTCCTCTCTCCTCCAAAGCCCCCAAAAATCTACTGCAAGGAACTGGAAACCCCTGAAAGAGGTTGTTATTTCCACAGAAAGCATCAGTAGTGAGGAGAAGAGAAAGAAACTCCTAATTCTGCTGGCACTAGAGGCCATGCACACCACTGGATCTTGGCCAATGATATTACCTGTCCCTCCTTGGTATAGGTCAGCACCTTCTCCTACTTACTCTGTGAGGAGACTGTGGAAGTCTTAAATCGGTTGTTCAGAAATGGGTTTCAAGTGCATAATGAGCACAAACTGAAATTTAATCCAAGTAAGGTGGAGGTACTAAAAGTTGAAAATTTGTTCCATCTGGTTGGCGGTCTACCCCTCATTTTGGAGGGTGTAGCATTCTGCCTAAAGATCACATTCATAGTTTGGACATCCTCTTAAACTCAGCAATATCTATACAGGTGAGCCACTCCTATACAGGAGCAGGTGGTATCTGTGGGTAGATTAGCCTGTTCACAAGGTAAAACTGGATTAGAGAATATAACAGGCTAGAGATCTTGCCTCAGTTATTCATGCTAAAGTTATATCCAGAATAAATCACAATCTTGTGTTCCATATGTTTGCTTAAATCTGGAAAACCTCAGCTAGTAGACAAGCATTTGCCATATGCTACATCTATATTGCACTAACTGCAATGGCAATGTCTTCATATCTGCACTCATTTTTAAAGGGGGGTTGACTTTTAAAGAGAGGTCCAGACAAAGACTCACAAGGCCAGGGTTCAACTCTCTCCTTGGCCGCCAAAACTCAGCAGTGAGTGGCAGTTGTAAACTGCTTCTTAAGCAACATATCATAAACCTCAAAAGTTCTATCAGAGCTGCCATAATTTGACAGCACATAACAACATTCATACTGAAAGCCTTAATTTTCAGGACAGGTTATCTGTAGGGTAGCTTTCACCCATATAAGCCTTCTTGAGCCTTATGATCAAGTTCAGTGGCCTTGTTTGCAGATCTGCTGGCAAGCAGTACCGGACTGGGAAGCCCTAGGATCAGAAACCTTTTGGTGGTGGAATCCCATTTGACAGGCTGACTGCTGCTTCAAAACACATACACAACCTGAGGTCCAAATTGGTGCACAAACACGAGACAAAAATGCCACAAGCAGTAATCCAAATATACCTCAGTCATTTCCAAATGCATGTATCCTTTACAGAACATGACGTTAATATGTTCACTGTGTAATTACACAGAATCAGAATTATATATAGCTTTATAATAGATTCAGAAATGGTACAGAAATCTTCTATATGAGTGCATTTTTTAAAAATTACATCTACATTGTGGGACTAGCAAGGATTCCCCCAACTGCAAGAATGAGCTCTTCTAGGATGGCAAGGGCTGGATCCTTCCCCCCAAAACACCCGTGGACTGGGGCGTTGGCCAAGGAGAGGCAGACAACATTCTTGAGGCCACAGGTGTAGCTGCCGCTGCTAGAGAACTTGATGGCTGGATGGGAGATGGCATGCCCTGATCCTGAGACCGGCTGCTGGGTTGAGATACTCATGCTGCCACAGAAATCTGCCTGGGTCCACCAGGACCAAGCCTGGTGCCAAAGGGCACATTGCTCAAGAACCAGTGTCGAACCCACTGCCTGCAAAGGAAGCAGCCAGGGCAAGCAACTCCATTGGAGAAACCCCATGGTCAGCCTGCCTACTGATGTCTGGAAGGTCAGCCTATGCCTCCTCCTTGCCCTCTGCCCCAACTACACAGGAGAGGCCAGTCACGTCCAGGTAAAGTTCAGCCATGCCTCCCAAGAAGGTTGCTGCACATATGGGATGGTGGCTGCTGGTGGGGGCTATGGAGGGGTGGCAGGTGAAGGAGCCTATACCCAGCATCCTGGGCCTAACCCACCTGCAAGGTGTGCTATAACTGGTAGGGGAGGCAAGGCTCTGCTCCCCCCAGTAAAAGACTTTTTTAGGGCACTGGCCCAAAGATTGTGGGAGTAAAGCTAACTCCGTGGCATCCTGAGTTATTAATGTTCTTGGCCTTGTTGGTTCTTTAAAAGTTCTGTTGCTCCAATAAAGAGCCTGTTCCAGCAACTACTCTCTGTGTCATCATGGAAGGGGGTGTGGAGGCTGCTCACATGGACATGAACCTGTAGAGAAGTAAACATTCAACTCTTTCAATATAAACATGTTTAAAGGCAGGCAGGTACCAGTAAATGGTATTCTGACCACTAAATTGTTATCAGAGATGGGGGTATTCGTATATGAATATCCCCCCCACAGGTGCAGATAACGAGGCTCCGGCCCCCTGGGGCCAGACCATCCACCCACAATTCCCCCTCTGCCACAGGCTCCATACGCCATTCCTGTCGCTCCAGAGCTTGTGATTGGCGAGCCACTCCTGGCAGAAGGCGGGATGACGAGTGTCTCTGCCAGGTCGAAGCATGGCTAATCCATTGCGAGCAACAAAGAGATAGGAAGGCTCCACAGAGCTTGCAGCAGTGGCGGAATTGTGAGTGGGCAGTCTGGCCCCAGGGGGACAGACCCTCATTATCTGTACCTGTGGGAGGGATATTTGTACTCGTAAACGAATACCCCCATCTCTAATCATTATCAAGTCTTTATTCCCTGGAAAATCAAACATTTTCAATGCTTTAAATGGTCAGAAAAGCCGCTCCAACACAATAGCGATCCAAGTTTGAATGCTAATGTATAAAATGTGGTCACCATGTAGTTAAGATGGAACTGATGTACATGGGAAGATGGGTTTCATTCTTTTGAAAGAAAACACACCCCAGGTTGTAAGCCCAATGGAAATTTGTCCTCCAGGGCTACAAGCATAATAAAGATCTTCTGCAAGAGATGTCTTAGGGGGAAAGGGTTAACCCAGTTTCTCTGTGATGCAGAGGTCTCAATCCTACTCAGACCCTGAAGCCGGCAGCATGGCTAAAGGAGAAAACAGACACATCAGAAATATCCATAGATTCAACATCGTGTCCGTTTGAGCTACAAGTTATGAAAATTAAGCTATACTAGATGGAAACCACAACATGAAAGATAAATGTTTGACTGCCCTCCATGCTGCAGCAACAAGAAGAAAATGTGCCAGAGTCAGCTACTGTCATAAACCTTTTCCTGTACACCATTGGATCACTACAATAGCTGCCTCACAAATGCCATTGTTTACCTTGAATCTGAGCTACGATATTAACCAAAGAAGACAGCTGTTTGAAAAAAGGGGCTGAAATTCCTTTGGTCTCTAGAAGGAGATTATCATGGCCACTTGGGAGAAGAAAGATGTCAGATGTGAATTAAGTAGGTCATTGTGTGGCAAGCAAGGCTCCATTTCTCTGTCTCCATTCCACATTTGTAAAATTAAAATATGCAGCATTCCCCTAATTAACACCACAAGGATCATCAGGATAGAGAATATAAATCATCGTGCACATCAATAGCAATCTAACTTAATTGATAACAGCATGACCAGTATGTTTTGACCCATTTCCTCTCCTGTAGCACTGTGCAATTTCCCACTCTCACACCTTTCAACCAGACTTCTTTTGTGTTGACAGAAGGCAGTTTCCCAGTAGCAGCAATGCATGGAGCAAGCTGGCCCTTTCTAGAAGACATTTGTTTGTTTATTCCCTGAGTTCATTTTCTATCCCACCCATTCCCAAGGGGCACAACAGTTTTAGAGGAAAACATAATGAAAGCAGAAACCTTAATTAAAATGTAAATCATAAAGAAATTAAATTAGACGCCATGACTGCTCAGTGCTGAATATGGAACAAGAACACAAAGAGGAAGCATTTCAGCAGTCTCTGGAGATATTCACACTGGATATGTTTCACTGTTTTACATCACATAGAAATGGCCAGGCCCCATGAAAGAAGACCTGCACATTGCACTCACAAATTACCCAGAAGAGGATGTGGTATGTAGCCAGCCCTAAATTAAACTGAGGTAACAGTTCAGATGGATGGGCAATTGTTCCCAGAATAATAACAAGAAATAGCATCACTAGTCTATAGGTCTGGAGATAAAGCCTGAAAATTAGTTGGTGTTTTACCTCTCTTATCAATGAAATGTCATTGCAGTGCAAAACCAGAATAAATGCAAATGAAGCACATGCACATGCAAGAGAATGCAGTTCTAGGCAGGGGAAACAAAAGTATAATATTCATAGATTCACCTGAGCAAGCCAAAAGGCTCTGAAGAAGTTAAATGATGAAGCAGATTCAGCGATAAGAAACATAAAACGCTATTCCTCTGCTTTGTCTTCATCAATTTGCTCATCTTAAGTTACTAAATTGTGACAACCACATTATAAAACCATGTGCACATTTAAAGCTCTAGAGGAGTGGTTCACAACCTTGGGTAACCCAGATGTTCTTGGACTGTATTTCCCAAAAGCCTTCACCGCCAGCTGTGCTGGCTGGGGTTTCAGAAATTGCAGTCCAAGAATAATAGATAATCCATCGTCCCCAACACATGTTGTTGGGGCTGCAGCTCTCACCAGCTCTAGCCAGTATAGCCAATGGTAAAGAGTGATGAGAACTGCAGTCGAACAACATCTGATGAACCACAAGTAGCCCACCCCTATTCTAGGATACCCATTATAAATAGAGAGAAGACTGAAACTTATCTAACCTAAACGCTGCTCTCCGGACACCAAGGACTACTCTAGCCCTCCATATTTCTCCACAAAGTTG